CCAGGTTCCCCTCCACGGCGCAGGCACGCTCTTCCAGCGCCATGGCACGGGCCTCAAGGGCTTCGTCGCGCCGCCGGGATGCCACCTCGGTCTCCGCCGCCCGCCGTTCTCGGGCAGCGGCAGCGTCAAGGACCCCCTGGGCGGCATCGAGTTTTTTCTCTAGCTCCGCCTCCCAGCTCCCGTATTGAAGGCGGAGGGAGTCCTGCGCCTCGTTCATCACAGTGGTGGCGATGAGGGCAGCCCCCCGCTCCTCCTCCACCTCCTTGGCGATCTCCTCCAGCACCTTCCGACGGGCTTCGAGCTCTGAGACGTGCCGACGGTGTGCCTTGCGGCCCACTTCCACCATGGCCTCCACCGAGCGTCGCCCCTCTTCGACACGCACCCATGCGGCGTCGAGCTCTGCCCGCTCTGCTTGCAGGGCCTCCACCTGGGCACTTAACCCGTCCAACACCGTCGTGTTTGCGACGGCCAAGGCCTGCAGAAGGGGTTCTGCGCTCAGTGGAGCAACAGAAGGCGTGGGGAAGAGCCGTCTCGGTGAGGATGCCGCGCGGCTCGGCCCGCCGATGGACGTGCCGGACTCTGGGATATCCCCCGGACCTAGCTTGTCCTGAGCGTCGCCCGAGGGATTGGGCCCAAGCGATGCGCCCGCGGCCTCGTCGCAAGCTGCCTCGGAAGTCGTCGCCGCCTCGGCCTGACGAAGTCTGGCCTCTTCCCGAGCGGTTTCTTCAGCTTGGCGAGCTTGGACGGCCACCTGAACAGCTTCCTCGGCTTCTCGAAGGCGATCCGCGGCCTCTTGCCGGTCAGTTTCACGGGTCGCCTCGGAGGATGTCGTCGCTTCGGCCTGGCGGAGTCCGGCCTCCTCCCGAACGGCTTCCTCGGTCTGGCGAGCCAGGGCGGCCTCCCGAGCGGCCTCCTCGGCTTCCCGAAGGCGGTCTGCGGCTTCTCGCCGGTCAGATTCCCGCCTCCGGGCCTCTGTGGTCGCCGGGTCCTCGGCCTCAGACTGGCCGGACTTGGAATGGCGGGAGGGACGCGACGGGATCTCGCTGAAACAGAAGAAAGACCAGAAGACAAAACAAGATGGATGAGTGAAAACTCGCGTTAAAGGAATGAATACGGCCATGATGGGCGTGGGACGAACCTGCGAGGGGGTCGGTTAAACGACCACCTTGGAGGGGAAATAAGGTTTCCCCGGGATGGTTCTATCCCCCCCATCTTGCGGGGCCGTTTCTTCTTCCGCTCTCCCTCGGGCTGCGACGTCGGCGTGGCCCCCTCCGGGCGCCTGCTGCTGGCACGCGCCGCCCCGCCCCCTCGGGGAGGAGATGAGGGAGGGGTTCCTTCCTGCTTCCTCTTCCCCCGGGCGTCGGCAGGGTGGCCGCTCCCCGGGCCCCCGTCGCGAGGCCCAGAAGCACGACCCCCTCCCGGGATAGATCGTTCCCCCCTGCGGCTCCCGCCCACGCCATCGTGGCCTCGAGGAGCCCGCTCCTCCGACGCCCCGACCGCCTGCATGATGGTCAAGATGGAGGCACGGTCTGGATCACTGCAGAGGGGGAGGACTCCTTGAGGAATGAGGGATGCCTCCACGGAGCTGAGATTCAGCACCCGTTGGACCACTATCTTGAAGTCCTCAGGAGCCCAGTCCCATCGGACCCCCTGGTGGGTCCTCATACAGTCCTCGGACCCGGTGTACTCCCAGGCGCCCCGGGCGCGCCGCTGGAGTGGCGCGATCCGGCGACGAAGATAGTCGCCGAATACCATGGCCCCTGTGAGCCCCTGAGATCGCAGGCCCGCCAGGCGGTCGAGGACGGCGTCGTAGCCATCTCCCAGATCTACCGGCGCCCGCCAGTTGGAGGCCTGCGCTGGAGGCTGGCTTGGGAGTCGGAGGCGCGATTCGTCAGCGAGGGGGTGTAGAACCAGTCGCTCTTCCAGTCATCCCACTTCTTGCGGAGGACGCAGGGAATGTAGCGGTTCAGCACCGGCCCCCGCGGCTGGAAGTAGCAACCACCAACCACCGACGGCGGCGAAACCGGCTGTACGGTGAAGAACCACCGGAACAGCCGAAGGGATGGGCGCACCCCGATGAACATCTCGCACAAGTGCGCGAAGATGGCCAATGTCATTACCGCGTTGGGGGTGAGGTGCGCCATCTGGAGATCGTAAAACTCCAGAACATCCATGAAGAAAGAAGAAAATGGCGGAACCAGCCCTGCCATAGCAAAAGGGAGGAAGAAGACGGACCGCCCCGGGTAGCGTGGCGCCGGGCATCCTTCGCCCAGCGAGACTATCTCCCGGCCGGTCGCAGATTCCGGCATGAAGCGGCGCAGCAGCCCGGCCTGTCTCTCGCTCACGATGCGGGAAGGCGGCAGCACGCTACCGTCAAGCGGAGCGGAGCCCCGTGCCATGACGCCGGAAGAAGAGATGTTTGAGAGCGAGCGCGTGTGGCGGAGGTAGGGCACAGGAAACAAGGAGTTAGGGCGCAAGCGGCGAAGACAAGGGGAATAATGGCGAAAGAAAGGAAGCAAATCTCTTCCTCGGCAACTTTATACCCTTGCCAACGCTGTGCCCGGCTCCTCGTTTCTCGCGCCCACTATCTTGCCCCCTCGTTTCTCGCGCCCACTCTTCCACTAATCCCATTCGCCCGTTTACGGTGCATGAGGTGGATATGCGGCTGTGGCAGTCGAGATGGAACATCTCGTGCGCGCGTTAATTACGCTCGCCGACCGAAGCGCCATCACCATATCTCCAGGCAAAACGAACCGGCACGTCCCGATTCGCGCGTTACTCGAGTAATGTGGCAGTCTTGAAGAGACCGTTCATTATTGACAGCCGAGTAACCATTGCCGATGTGCGTGATTTGCGACTATTGGGTTTCTGCCCAACTGTGGAGACCGGTCCCACCTGTCACCAGGCCTTAGGAAGTGGCGTCACGCCCGACCGCTTCCCTCGAGGAGGGTAATCGCCCCGGCATAACGCCGGGGGCTACTGTCGATGACATGGGACCGGGAGTATCGTGACTAGAGGCTTGAGGCAGACACAATCGCCCACGTGGCCTGGCACCCTCGGGGGGGGCGTCGGGCCCGAGGGTGGTGTGTTCGCCCTCCTCTTTGTCTCCCCGAGGGGGTCAGACCGCTCCTGCCTTGGCCCCGAGGGCTGGGGCGCCCCGACCCCTTGTGGATTTTGCGCCGCGTGTATGGGTTAGGTGAGCACAGCGGCGCTCACCTAACCGCATTTATTGCGGTTTGGACGAACGCGTCACGCCGCGTGTAACGCGGTGCAGCGCGCTCGTTTATCCGGTCTGTGACCAGTCACAGACCGGTCAGATCGTGGGTTAGGTGGCGACAGGCGGTCTGACGCACGCCTCGCCCCGTCCAGTCAGGACGAGAGCCTCCAAGCACTCGTCCCTAGCCGGAGCCGGCGTGTTACCTCCTGGAGATGACACGTTGGTTCCGGTCAGATATATACCAGGCTTCATCATAACCATTACAGGCAAGATGTTGTATGAAGAAGGGCGAACATGCAGATTGTTAAACTGACACGTGATGGACAAGAATGACCGATTGGTGACCGGTCTGACAATGGTCATGTCGTCAGCAGACAGCCATCTCCCACGTCGCGCCTGCTTCCGGCGGAAGTGGAGGTAGGTATGGGCCGTCCCGTCAGAAGGTGATTCGGATGGCAGCGATGCAAATCTCCGTCCATTAATGAAGAGAAGTCGAGTTGAAAGAAAGGGAGGGAGAGATGGTGCATGTGGGATCCCCTTGAGATATAAAAGGAGGACCTTGCCCACTTAGAAAAGGGAGGAGGAAAAAACGATCCCAGAAGAATGGGGGGTTGACTTGTACTTTGTAGCTCCTTCATACGCGAATCCGCCAAAACACAGGAGTAGGGTATTACGCTTCTCAGCGGCCCAAACCTGTATACATCGCCCGTGTCTTGTGTGTTTCCAGTCTCGCGAACCTTCCACAGATTGGGAGCTTAGAACCTCACCCAGGGTCCCCGGCCGAACTGGCAAAAGGGGGGCCTGCACGGTCTCCCGGTGAGGAGCCCCACGCTCCGTCACATACATACATACATACATACATACATACATATATATATATTCATTTTCATATATATATATATATATATATATATATATATATATATATATATATATATATATATATATATATATATATATATATATATATATATATGACCCAACTCAAATGAGTATGAAACTTTTTCAATTACTTAGGTATTAACATTAACTACTTTACTAACTAGTTCAAAGCAAGTTTGAATTGAATTTGAACTTGTTTTTGCTAGATTTTGATACATAGAGTATGGGCTCCAAGATTTCAAATTGAGTATATACTTAATTTGAATGAGTATGAATTTTTTTAAAATGTTTAGGTATAAACATTAACTTCTTTACTAACAAGTTCAAACAAGTTTGAAATGAGTTTGAACTTTTTTTTTGTTAGATTTTAGTTCTAGGTATATAACATCCAAACATATAATCCGCTAGGTATATAATAATAAATTGTAAAATAAAGTTGAGTTTGAGTTATTTTGCTGTTAGGTATTGGTATGAATCAAATTTATATACCTAGATATATACTCACAATTTAAATTTTTTTAAAAATTTGAGAGATTTTGTGTGTTTTATACCTTCGAGACCGGGCACCATGGAGTTCCATATGGGTATCCTTATTTATATATATATATATATATATATATATATATATATATATATATATATATATATATATATATGTATATGTATGTATGTATGTATGTATGTAGCAATTAGTAGTAGTTTTCTTGTCCGATTTTTCATGTTACGGCGACAATGAGCATTTTCGGAAAAGGTCCCGTGGATCTCGTCGCCTCACCCCACTTCACCACCCCCGCCGCTCTCTGCCTCCGTCCCCATCCGCGCCGCTTCCCTCCACCCATCCACCGGCCCGCAGCTCCGGTAGCTTTTCTCTTCCTTTTCGCTCGCTCTCAAGGCCCATAACGGTTATGGCCCAGTCAACCAATCCCCCTTCCCACTCAAAAACAGAGCCACGCTAATACCGCTAGCCCTAACACACCGCGAACACCCGTTCCCCTCGCGCCGCCTTCCTACCTCGCCGCCGGCGACGCCAACGACTACCCGCGCCGCCGCTACGTCTCCTACTCCTCCTCCTCCTCCTCGACGGAGCAGCGCGGGGAGGCCGACCAATACCCAAAACCTAGCAGCAGCAGCAGCGAGAGAGACAGCTTTTTCCCCCTTCTCACTCCCCACCCATATATGAACACGCGCGGCGCCGCAGCGAGAACCTAAAACCCTAAACCCCCTCCTGAATAAAAGCAAGCATGGCGGCGCCCCTCCCCGCAAGCCCTAGCAACGCCCATGGCGCGGCATCCTAGGCCCCCCACCCCGTCACCGCCGCGCGCGAGCTCCGACACCGACGCCGCCTTCGACCCCGTCGTGGAGTGGCTCCTCGACCTCGACCAGGCGCCCATGGCGGACGAGGTGGCCAAGGGCCTCGGTATCGCCGAGGAGCCCGCGAGCTTCGATGCTGGTAAGGTTTCGGGTGGTTCGGTGTCCGAGAGCCGCGGGGTCGAGGAGAAGGGGAACGCCTTGCCAGAGCAATCGGGCGCCTCTTTTGACGGCGAATTGGATGTCGAGATGGAGCCTAAGACGGGGAGCGGAGGATTGGTTCCGCAACTTGTGCAGGATCAGCATCCGGCTTCGGATATTGGTGATTTGGCTGTAAGAGAGGATGGTTCAGAGATAATGGTGGATGTTGAGAGGAGTACTGTACCTGTTGATGCTGACATGAACAATGTGTCCTTGGCCTTGGTGAAAGAGGAAGCGGAAGGGGGAGGAGATAGGGAGGACAAGAGCGACGAGGAAGAGTCCGAGAGTAGCAAGGAGGAGTCGTCTGAGGCTTCGTCGAGCAGTGATGAGGAGGAAGATAAGAGGGAGTCAAGCGAAGCCTCTTCGAGCAGTGACGAGGAAGAGCAGATGGCCAAGAAAACTGGCGGTGCTGGTGACACGGATTCCCTCTTTGAAGAGGGTGAATTGATGCTTGCAAGTGATGACGATGATGAGGAAGCACCAAAGGGTCCTATCAAATCCAAACATGAAGTAGAGGTATTCATTGACTAGTCTCTGTTGTTGTTCATCTTCACTAGTTACTTGATGATGTTTACTTGGATATACTGGAATGCTAATTATTTTAATGAGTACAGCTCAGTATCTAGCTAGCATAATTGGCATGGCAATAACTCAATTTGTTACATGTCTTGCATACTAGCCACCCTCCTTACAAAGTGAAAACTTCTATAGAGTTGTGCTGTCAAATCCACGGACTGTGTGTCACTGAGATATTATAGGTCTTCTAGATAGTATGCAATGACAAAGTAATTTATAAACAAAAGAGTGGAGCCTGATGTTTCTTTTGCTTTTGCTTAAGTTTTGATGTTGCTTATTTCTAGTCTAAACTAGTATACTTTGCAGGTCCTTCCTCCAGTGCCAAAGATTGATGTACAGCTGGAACCACATCATCAGACCCTACCAGTAGGAACAATTTCAGCTGTAAGTTTTATTTTTAACATGACCTTTTCATCTGAGTATTTGTCTCTGTAATGGAGCATTTAAAACACCTTCTTGTTTGATCCCCGCACTTTGTTAGTACTAGTTATTTACATGTGTCTCCGGTGAAGATTCACCCTGTTCTTTTTATTTTAGTATAAGCATTATTTAGTTTGTATAGAAGATTAGGAATCTATTGTTCTAGTCTACTGATATATATTTGTAATGTATTTTTGGTGCTCTGTAACTGTCTGGATTTTGCGGGTTATGCTTATACAATCTGTCTACTGCAAGCACCATTCTTAGTAGCATAGTTATACTAATCTTCTACTCCCTCCGTTTCACAATGTAAGTCATTCTAGCATTTCCCACATTCATATTGATGTTAGTGAATCTAGACATATATATCTATTTAGATTCATTAACATCAATATGAATATGGGAAATGCTAGAATGACTTACATTGTGAAACGAAGTATATTATTTACGATTGCTTTCAAAATTGTCATTTATCATTTAATCCTAGCATGGTGGATTATATACTAAGTTTCTTCTCCTGGATGTTTGATTGCTTTCTATGCTTCCAGATCATGGGTGAGAGAGTGATTGTTGAAGGGTCAGTGCAACACAATCCCCTGAATGAGGGTTCGATACTCTGGATAACAGAAAGCAGGATCCCACTTGGTATTGTTGATGAATTGTTTGGACCTGTCAAGAACCCATACTATCTTGTACGGTACAACTCTGCAGAAGAGGTGCCTGCTGATATCAGTGCAGGAACTGCTGTCTCTTTTGTTGCAGAGTTTGCAGACCACATCCTAAATATGAAGGAACTGTATGCCAAAGGCTATGATGGATCTGGAGAAAATGACGAGGACCAGACAGACCCTGAATTCTCTGATGATGAGAAAGAGGCTGAGTACAAAAGATCATTACGGCTGGCAAAAAGGCAGACTGATAGGCAGCATGAGGGTAAGAAAACTTCAGGTGATAAGAAGAGAGCACAACCTAGGGGCTCTGGATTTCGGAAAGACATGCCACCCAGGAGCCATGATGGACCTGCACCAGGTCGCCAATCGCAACCTCATTTTCATCGCCCTGATAAGGCTCCTGTAGTTGATGCAATCCGCCCATTGGGTTCTCAAGATGGTCCTATGAGTGCACCAACAAAGCTGCCACCAGGCCCAGTTCATCCTGTTATGCCTGCAGCTAATCAGCTTACAAATCAGATGGGTGGTCGCTTCATGAATCCGTCTCAGCAGTTCTTACCACAGCAGCCTAACGTTGTCTGGCCAGGTGGTCTAACACCTACACCACATCCAAATATGGGGATTGAAGGAGCTGCTTTTGCAGCTAATATCATGCAGAACCTTCTCATTGGAGCCAATCAATACCAGCAACAGTTTCAGAACCATAACTTTGGTGGCTTCCTGAACCAAATGCCTGTACCTCCACCTCAGTTTATGTCGCAAGGTGGAATGCCTTCTAATCCAATGGCATTTGGTGGACCAACGATGGCACAGATGAATCCTCCATTTGGTCCACCTCAATTGCCTATGGATCAAGGTAATTTTGGGCAGGCTCCACACATGGCTGGGCATACAGTGCAACAAGGGCCTCCTGCAGGATTTCCCAATGGCCAAGGATTTGGGCAGTCAGCATCGCCGCAGGGAGATGGAGAGCAGCCACCTATGCAATTCAGTTCTGGGCAGTTTAATCAAGGGAACTCATCCTTCCATGGCAGAAGGCAGCAACAACGGGGAGGCCGGCACTCTTCTGGGAGAGGCGGTGGCCGTCACCGCAGATAAAAGATAGGTAACGCTGGTGGTTTTACACCAGCGAAATTTTGACTCGCTGAGTGAACTCCTCTTGAATGGTTCAGTCTTTGCTTTGATGTATTCGTAAACGGAGACATGATCAGTTGCATGTAATATTCAATTTGTTTCGTTTACGGTGAACTTCACTTTGGACACCCTTGTGTGTTTGCCTATGTTTCACAATATACCCCGGTTTAGTGAAGCCTTCAAATTAATGTATGACCAGACTTTGCAAATTGGACTGGGTTTGCTGTGTCACTTTGTTGGTTTCCATCGTGGCCTGTTGGGCGCATCCACGCGAGTAATTTCTGTGCGCGCTGAAGTGCCCGGGTGAACTAGCTTCATTCACTTACAGAGCACTGAAGTTGTAGTATGTGATGTCCATGTCCTCCATACAGTACATCCGGTTCCAATGTTGTTTGTCAAACACTGAAACATAACTGGATTTTGTATGAACCATGATTCTGATATATGAGAGTGACTGTCTTGAGTTCCAGATATGAATTTTGTTAAATGATCGATCCTTGATGTACATATTACTGAACTAGTAAGTCCTGAGGTTCAAAGAAGAAATAACTTGGGGATGATTCATTTTTTATTTTTTTTCTGTGTCGCTTAAGCTTTTCATTTCCTCACCCGAGACGAGCACCTTCTCTTGTGCATGCCGAAGATCAATGGTGACCACGAGCTGGAGATTGGACGCGTGAATGCGTGATGATCTTAGAAAAAAACAAGATTTGGAGGGGAGATATGTCCCTTCAAATATTTTTTAAGAATAAGTTACGAGCGTGTTGAGAATTGAATACGAGACCCTAGAATTAAAATCACACACCCTTTACCGTTGCATTATCAAATGGGATGTGTGATGATCTATTCCTCTGTCCGGGCCTAGAGATCAGCTCGAAATTTTGAATGTCGCAACCTGGTACTGTTTTTTTTATAAGCAAGGATAGCCACGCCTATTTAGAAATATCTAGTGCTGGAAATGACACAAATTAGTATTAAATTTGGATAGACTCTTATATACTCCCTCGGATTAGTATTTTTATTGGTATTAGATGATAAAATATGAATAATACTTTATATGTGACTATTTTTTTAAATTTTTTTATAAATTTTTTAAATAAGACGGACGGTCAAACGTTGGACATGGATATCCACGACTGCACTTATTATAGTGTCATGATGTGTTAAATCCAGTACTCCCTCCGTCCCATTAGAGCACCCGCAATGGTAAAGTAAAGTGCTCTCTACAAAACATGTACATCTAAGCAATAGACTAGATTAATAGTAAACCACCTCAATAATATGTCTACATGGATATCTATAGCTCTCTTATCCATTGTCTCGTTTTTCTCTATAGACTATCTCCAGGTTAGTAGATAGCTTTACTCTCTCTCTTCATTTAATCTCTTCCATGTAGGAAAATATGCTGACATGGATATCTTGTAGAGAGCCTATAGACAATCATTGTGGGTGCCCTTATAAGTGCAACATAAGTTTCTGTGCCCAACTTTGATCGTTTTTCTTATTTAAAATTTTTTTATAATTAGTATTTTTATTGTTATGAGATGATAAAACATGAATAATAATTTACTCGTGACTTATGTTTTTAAATTTTTTTAAAAAATTTTTAAATAAGACGAACGGTCAAAGTTGAACGTAGAAAACCATGGCTGCACTTATAATAGGACGGAGGTAGTACTGACTTGCCATATGATGGGATGGAGGGAGTACCAGTTTTGTGTGACGTGCACACGTTGTGGTATCAGCCGTACCCCAAGTCCCAACCGCACGCCGTTTCAGTAGCGGCAGGGCCTTCCGCCCTTTCGCCCCTTGGGCCTCCCCGTGCGCCATGGCGACGCGACCTCTATACCCTTTTCGTCGTCGGTGTAGGCTTGCAAAGGCGGCCGCATGGGCGCAGCCGCGCAGCCACTGTACCTGACGACAACACTACTCTACCACACACCTCTATACGTCTGCACTGTCTGCACACTGCACACCACGGTCCTCACGTCAAAGCCATCTCTATCTGCGGCGCATGTGAACGTACATAATGCCGACGCGACAGCTTCCACGTTCATGCTATGCCATTGACGACCAAGTACCCAAGTTCTGTACGTTCGCGAATCATGACATGATCGAAGAACAGGTTACATTTTGGTGATCCAAAATCGGCTAATTATATCATCAGTTCTTCTCCATTACCTACCTAAACCAATAATTAATAATCCAATTGAGACGATGAATATATTTCAATTCTACGAGTTGATCATGCAGTTGATCCGGTAGAAATCGACGCAGGTCTGGCAGGCGCAGCCGGCGAAGCGGCAGGTCTCGCAGCCGAAGCAGACGCACCTCACGCACCCCTTGCACGTCGCCGCCCGCGTGCACCCCCTCGACGCCTTCCTGCTCGCCCTCTCCTCCTCCTCCTCGCAGCTCACTCTCACCCTGCACCTGCAAATCCAAATCAAACATCACAATTCGAATAATCGATCAGCTAATTAATCAACTCATGTTCTGAATGAAATTCATTCATGTGTTCTTGAGCTCTGATAATTTGGCAGTGTATAATTAATTTACCTGCCAGCGGGGGGCATGTCCTTGCAGGTCCAGTCATGGCGCGCCATGGCGTCGTGGTAGAGGCGGCACTCCTCCTTGGTCCTGAGCCGGAACCGCCTCTCCTTGCCGCAGCCGGCGCACCGGACGAACTCGTCGCGGTGGCACGGCGGCCGGCGGCCGCCGCCGTTGGCCGACGACGACTTGAGCTTCTTGTGGTAGTACCTGAGCAGGCAGGTCTTGGAGAGCGCCACCTTGTCCCCCTTGACCATCACCCACACCGTGTTCTGCCACCTCCCCGCCGTCTCCCTCCCGGAGTGCTTCTCGAACGCCGCCGGGCTCAGCTTATCTGCAAATGTTCAGAGTACTTCATCAGAGACAAATGTTGATCAATGCAGTGGTCATTGTGGTGGATACATGAACATGATCCCATGCAATCACACAAGTTACAGAGAAGAAAAGGTGAATGCAAGTACGGGCACATTTGGGAACGCCCATGAGCTGAACAAACATGGAGTTGAACGTACTGAAAGTACGTACAGACATGAACAGAATAAAGATCTCTGCAAGGAGATTTTGGAAAGTACACACGCATGGAACAAAAAATTGGAGTCAACAGCACAGCACGGCAAAAGCAAGCGACTAGCCCTAGGCCCTAGCTAGCTGCTAGCAGTAGGCATGGCACTGCATGCAATATACTGTACTGGAGTAATTTCCTACTAGTGGCATCATCAGGATTAAGTGATAATTAACTAATGGACGTGAAGTAAAATCAACTAGAGTTGACCGGGCGGTTATCACGGTTATCTCGTGTGCGATAACCTTATTAGTTTTTAAAACCACGGTAATCGCACGCTAAACCGTTGGGTGAGGGTGTACGAACGCACCTTGGTCGCAGCCGGGGGTGCAGTCGCAGGAGACCTGGAGCTCGCCGGAGGCGAAGAGGCGGAGGCGGCCGACGGCGTCGCCGTAGCGCGCGCTGGTGCAGCCGCACGTCACCTCCACGAACCTGTCGCCCACCCGCACCCCGCTCACGTCCCGCAGCTCCTCCTCGCCGAACAGCGCCGCCCCGTTCTCCACGGCCATCGTCGTCGATTCTGATCGATCAATCGATCGATCTCTCCCCAATCAAACCAACCAACGACCAACAACTACCTGACGTCGCACGATGGCACAGAGAATCAGAGTTCATAGATTGATCGATCTGAGAAGATCAGAAGAACACCAAGGGCAGAAGAAGCAAAAGCAACACACCTTACTGGTATAGATGAGATGATTTCGGTCGTCGTAGCAGGAGCGGAAACCGAGGGGTCCAAGAAAGCAAGAGAGATCGTGGCGAACACGAGGAGGCGCCTCTCTCGCTCTACAGGAAACGACGCGGAGGCAGGCGCGACGCGAGCGGCGAAAAGCCGGCTCCTTTCCGCGAGAAACGGATCGGATGAGCTGCCTCCCTCCCTCCCTCGAAACCAACCGCCCTGAAGAAACCTTCAAAAAATAAATCGACGGATCACGGATGGATCTGGAGGAGATGATGATGAGAGAGACCAAGCCAATTAAGGTGGTGGTGACACTGACGAGTGACGCTAGTTCGCACCACCGCAATGGAGTGGGGGAGGAAGGAGACGAAGAAGCTGATGCGCTCTTCAATTCGCTCTCTTTGAGAGCTCTTGACGTTTGCAACGAGCCGTTTCTCTCTGCCTCGTTGCGCGTGTAGCTGTGCTGCTGCATCGCCATTTGTTATCTTCTTCGGTTCTTTCCTTCCTCGTCTGTCCATTTTGTCGTCGTCGTCGATCCACACGACGCGCAGCGCGCAGGAGTCGCGTGGACATGCATCACACACACATACTATCTCTCTGCTTTTGTGCTGCGTGCAAGCTAGAGAAGAGATGACAGAGATTCCCATATCGCCATCGCCACGCGAGCCGTCTGCAGGTCCATCACTCGGAGAAGACTTAGCTACAAAATTGTTATTACCTCCGTATTAGAATATAATTCCTCCGTCCCATTTTAAATGCAGATATGGTTTTCCGTGCTCAACTTTAATCGTCCGTCTTATTTGAAAACTTTTTTAAAAAAATAAAAAACATAAGTCACGAGTAAAATACTATTCATGTTTTATGATCATCTCATAACAATAAAAATACTAATTATAAAAAATTTTCAAATAAGACGGACGATCAAAGTTTGGCGTGGAAACTTACGGTTGCACTTAAAATGGAATGGAGGGAGTAAGAATTTTTAAGGTTAGACATAATTGTTAAGAATATGAAGGAAAATTAAGACCATGTTTAGTTTCTCCAAAATAGCAAAAGTTTTACTGTTTTGGAGTACTTTTTATCAAAACAGATCTAAACAATAGTAGCAAAAGTTGACAATTTGACATTTATCATTTCGGAGTCTAAAGTAGCAAAATTTGCTAAAAAGCGCGTTGGGAGCCGTGCTCTCTTTGTCTTTACAGGTAAAATGGCAAAACTTACCATACATCTAAACACTAAAATAGCAAAACTTCAATAGCAAAACTTTAATGTCAGATCTTTTGCAAAAAAAATCTTGCAACAACAAATTGATCCCTAGATAGAAAAATATTGTAATTGGATGGGAAGTAGAGCTAGGTGGAGAAATTGAATAGTGAAGAAATATGATTGGTTGGGAACATGCTCACCGTACCAACCGATTTGTTGCAAACTTTCTAATAGTTGAGTTTTAGTACAAGGCACAACTACTTTTTTCCAGATATTCCATAATATATGCGTGCATGCACGTATGCAATTAATTAGTACCTCTTCTCCATTAAATTATGATTTTTTTAAATCCTCTGTCCTCAAGATCTCTAATTCTATTGGGTGCATGCATTTTATTTATAAGGGTGATATAAATTAGGAGGTGATAATAATTATTTCTTGGTCTTTAAATTAAGGGTGATTGTGCTTTATATTTTAGAATGGATGGAGTAGCACATAATTAATAGAGTTTTAATTATTTCAAACTTAAAATATGAATTTATATGATATTTTAAGGCAATTTCTATATAGAAAGTTTTCATACGAACATATTGTTTAGCCGTTTAAAAAATATGTTAGCAGAAACCAATATAGGATCCGCATCTTAATTCAGATGAAAATGAACTGAGCCTTAGTAGTACTTTGCTGATTATACTACTGTGTAAACAATGGCCCTGTTTGATTCCGAAGGGCTATTAAATAGCCATGCGGAATCTTGCTATTTAAGAGTATTAAACGTAGATTACTGACAAAACTCATTCCATAATCCCTAGGTTATTTTGCGAGATGAATCTAACGAGGTATATTAATCCATGATTTGCTACAGTAATGCTATAGTATCAGCTGCTAATTATGGATTAATATACATCATTAGATTCGTCTCGCAAAATAATCTAGGGGTTATGGAATCGGTTTTATCGGTAATATACGTTTAATAATCCTAAATAGCAAGATTTTGGAGGGCTATTTAATAGTCCGAAGGATCTAAACAATGCCAATAACGAGTGAACGAAAGGAATATCAAGTAAGCATTGCGTAAATTCCTACTACTTCAGATTTGTTCGTATGTGGAAAATATTTGCAGAGATATCCCTGTCTCTAGCACTTCGTGGATGGAACTCATCCGTGACCTCCACAAACCCCTGCACAGTTTCACCACAAAAAAGGATGACAAAATAGCAGTAGAAACCAGAAAGATCAGAATCCAGCGGGGAAACACAATCCGAGAACAGCTTTGCCTGCGAGGTTTCAGCATCGAAGAAGTGTAGAGAACCCACATGTTTCTGGTAGAATCTTCTCCCTGCTGAACCTTCCCCTTCCATGGCCTCGCTGCTGCCGCCTACTCATCTCCTCACTCCTCCCCCGCTCTGCTGCTGCTCGTACGCTCTACTTCTCCCGAGAGCCAGGAGGGCGCCTCCAAGATTCTCGAATGGGGCCTTCTCCGCGGCGGAATCGCTGGTCCGGGGTGAGTTCTTGGGGAAAGTCGGGACCTTGGCTCGGAGAATGGAGGGAAGGCGGCGCCTTGCCGTGGCTAGTGCCGGGAGAGGCCCACTTTTTGGCGGCGGCGGCGGCGGTGGCGGGCAGCGGGGCTCCGGCCGGGTGGTGGGGAACCTTGCCTTCGCCGCCCTCTTGACGTTCCTCGCCACCACCGGCCAGCTCCGGTGGGTTCTGGACGCCATCGTCTCCCTCTGGGTACGAGCTTCTTGCTGCTGAAATAAGTTGTAGATGATGACTGGTATATTCAGAAACTCCTTTCTTTAGATGAAAAAATTTGGACTTAGTAGGAATGAACTATATTACTGGTTGCTCGGTTGATGTGTGGGCATGTATTTTAATATCATAATATGGTTCTACAGTTCATGATGAAGTAGCTTCTTAGCTGAAAATTTTCCGGTCCGTTTGTTTCCCTTTGCAAACTGCACAGTCTGTATTTCATTGGTTACATTTTTCAGTTTTCACCATGAGTAGGCTGCTACAGCACTAGAGTTTATTTTCACCAAAAATAGTTGAGAAATTTGAATTCTTCAGTAATGTAAGAACCGAAATTGGCAATCTTGTTTAGTTCACCTCCTGGTGCTTAATAAGCTCATTTGATTAAGAATTCACCTTTATGTACCATGAAAAGAGATATTCAATCTCATTATCTTTTCTGCTGTCTATAATTTCACAGTACTTTGATTGAAAGTTTAACTTTAGCTCTTATCTTGTGTCACAACAGCTTCTCACAATACTGCTGCCTATTTTGGGTCTCGCTGCATTTTTCTTCTTTGCAGGCCAAGACATACTTCAGAGCAATGTAAGGCTTCTGAAATTTAGTATCCAGTAATTATCTAAAGAAATAGTATTCAGTAATTTTGTCTAGTTTGGTTTCCTTTTAATTTTGGTTGGTGTGTTTGCTTTCATTTGGACTTCACTCTTACAGAGTGCTAGTTTGTAATAATTGGCTGTAGCTCTTTTGAGTAAAGGTCGGGATGCTATTTCATTCCATTATCTAAAAAAAATAGTATTCAGTAATTTATTCATATGTTAGTACCAACTGATTTATTACAGTGAAAAAGGTTTTCTGTAATTCCCCCCTTCTGAAAATAAGTTTGTTATATATAGTAAATTCAGTCTTCAACTCTTCATAAAGGACAGATTATGAGATTAGATGTCTATTGATACCTGGTAGCAAACATATCTGCTATGAAGGGCTAATAGTATCTATATGTATCGACGCTGTAAGCAAAATCATTGTGATTTGTTTGCACAAGTTTGTCAATATTCACAATCGTGTTTCTTTTGCTTTCAGTGCCCCAACTGCGGAAAAAGCTTCCAGATACTGAAGTAAGCACAGAAAAAAAAACTAAAAAGCCCAAAACTTCTTGTATTACATAGATTTGTGATTATAACTTCAAAAAAAAATTGATCAGCTTGATTGTCTTTTAGGTCATCTTTGAAGGATGGTCCACAACTGTGTCCATATTGTACTCAACCTTTCTCGGGTAAGCAACTTGCTGCTATCTATTTCCAGTTTACTGATATTTGCGTGAGACTAATACCTTTAGTTATGATATGCATGCTTGCTGCTGTCCTGCTAGAAATTTGCAGAACAAAATTAATCTAGGACATGTTCACTCCATTAGTTAATTGCTTTTTTTGCTGTCTTTTAAGCTCTTGCAGGCTTCTTTTAATTTTTGCTAGTAATAGCTTTAGACCTTGCTTTATGTTGAATTGTGGATATTTTCAAAAATGCTCATCTGTTAATACACCTGGTTGAAACCTTCTTAACCATTACTTTTCTTTCTATGTGCTGCTTCTCCGCCATTGGGAAAAAAAAAAGAAACACAGGCTTTGCTGATTTCATGAATTATTTATTCTCTGTGGACTTATGTTGCCATTAGTCAAATGAAAATGAAACGTCTTATAATATCTGAATGTTTTTTTTGGGACATAATTATATTTGAATTTTTTACTTTCCTCAGAACAGAACAAACATTTTTGGTATATATGTGGAATCGTCTAAATTGAGGTTTTGTCGGGTTTGTCCTTGTACATGGTGCAGTGCAGGGAAACAAATTTGTTAGAGAATCTGCTAGATTTTCATCTGGAAGGACCACCACAGGTGCTCAAGCCTTCAGTGAGTCCTTCAAACGTGGTTCGGAGGGTATGTAAATCATCAGTCCATCAATCACCTTCTTTTCCTCTTCCCGTGGCTTTAAATATATGTACACACATTAGTAAAAACAATTAGTGATTTTTTAAATAATGAAAAAAAAATGGAACTTAGGTGGAGAATTTCAGATATCCTCAGCTAATCAGGGAAAATATGATGAAAATCCTATATTTCTCTACCATGGATATTTTACCCATTTTTTAATTGAGTAGAAGAGGGGAATCCCCGATGCTAGATTTGGTTGGGTTGAATAGTCAGATACAAACGGATTAGCGCTGACCAAATTTGAATGGGTTTAAGTTGTATGAGGCTGCAGAGTTGCAGTATTCTTAATTGATTTTTACCACATGTGATATGCTTGAATACGATATCCAAACTTATGCATCATCAGAGAATGCATCCAAGACAATCGATTTCCTATCATGTACATATATAGTATACCATCAGTGGAATTCTTAGGTGCCATTTCTCTGTTTCTGTTGATTGATTCATTTGCTGATATGTGTTTTTATTTAGAACCACCAATCATGGCATTTAATCAGCAATCGCACTATGTGTTGCTTCATGCAGGGAAGAAGACACCTTCTGGAACTGTTGTAGACATCGAAGCTGAAGTGAAGGATGCCGAGTGATTCTTCTGCAGGAATGTGCTAAGAATCTCTGCCTCGTTGACATCAGTTTTGCAGCTCTTCATGGCCAATTTTTCAGAGGGCTATTAAATCTGGTAGCAGTGTCATGGTTGTACCAACCGTTCGCTAGATTTGTTGATATGCTAGGTCCAGGATATCAAGACGAACTGACACTTGATTCCATAAGTGACGACATGTAGCGCCTTCTTCTCGTTGCAACTTGTAAATTGCAATTACCTCTGCTTGTGTAAAAGTAACAACAGAAAAGGTAGATGTGAATATTTACTTCTTTTTTTTTTTTGCTTTTGTATGTGGATGAGCAATCAAAGATCAGTTGAAGAACAAAGGGCCTGTTCACTTTTATGCCACTTACCAAAATTTAGGTAGGGTAACAAACTACGCATTACCTTACCAATGTCATTTTGGTAGTTCCGGAACTTTCCTCTCACAGAAACACTACAAAAATTTGGAAATGCATCAAACTAAATATATCCAACACTACTAAAATTAGCAATGTCAAAACTTAATGAAATTTGACATGTCAAAATTTGGTAAGGTTTAAATTGGCAACAAAGCAAACAAGCCCAAACAATCCATGTTTGGCTCTGATTGGCGAAACCACTGCACCAAAATTTTGTCATGCTAATCCATACCGCCAATGCCAAGAAGAAACAATCTGAACCACACCATGAATGCCAATCAACATGACATATCGAGTCCCTGTCCGGATTGACCAGATGCATTTAAGAAATGGAGGGGAGAAAAAAGGTCACTGAAACGCACAAGAAAACTCATTAGTTCTCCCAGCTCCATGGTGTCTGGTGAGTGGTAACTGAAGGGAAATTATTACTACAGACTAACAATTGCCTGTGTCTACTGATCTGCACGAAAAAAAGTATGTAATCGCCGTTGCCGGGGATCGAACCCGGGTCACCCGCGTGACAGGCGGGAATACTCACCACTATACTACAACGACTTCGGTGCTTCCAAGTTTCTATCACACATTATGGATTTAACAAGACTGACACGAGAATACAAGATTAACAGCACGATGATGCAGGAGCCGCATGTACAGGCGGCTGATCTGATGCAAGAGTCTGGATCAGTCGTCGGTCGTCATATAGTTGGGCTTGGGCTCGTGACTGATGTGACCAAAAGGGAACAGTTCGCTTAACCGTAGTAAGTACAGTATTTGGTAAACTTGTAAGATGTCTTTACGTTGTAACGTGCCGGGCCTATATAATTAGAGAGGGTTCCGAGGGTGATTAAGAACAAAGCACGGGATCGAATGATTACACATACGTACGGAGCATACAAACGCCTAGTGCGCTGTAGGAAGAGGGGGGATTGAGATCGGCTGCAGTCGTTATTGCGACTGCACCTTACTGCATGCATTTTCAGCCATTCATTTTTGTGATCAACAGTCTAGATCAATTGCTACAGTAGAAGGATAGTGTGCTAAAAATACATATATTTTTAAACAAACAAAAGAGTAGTGCATATTCATACTATGAAGTGACTTATATTTTGGGATGGAGGGAGAATTTCCTTGCTCCCAAAATACTCCAGGGGAAAAAAGCTTTTCCAGATTAGAAGTTTAGAACATACTTTCTTTATCCAGAGAACTCAACCTAACTTAGATTAGGTGGACAAAGGTTTGTTATAGGATAGGTTAGGTTGAATTATTTTAGAACGGATAGAATACTACTTCCTCTCTCTTTTTTTAAAGATGAATACTAATTCTTTGGTCCCAAAATACTTGTGGGTAACTCAACCTAACATATGTTAGGTGGACAAAGGTTTGTTATAGGATAGGTTAGATTGAATTATTTTGGAACGGATAGAATACTACTTCTTCTTTACTTTTTTTTTTAAAGATAAATGCTATTCCATCTATCCTAAAATAGCTCTCAAGATCTGTCACAATAACAACTTCTCCACCAACATTCTCTTCACAATCAATCACAACTCACCACCTTAACTACTCAACCAATCATAACCCTCCACCATTTACTTTTACCTACTTTCTTAATAATCGTGTTCAACTCTAAAAATTTTTATATTCTGGGATGGAGAGAGTAATTCTTTGTTCCCAAAATACTCGCGGCGACAAAAACTCTCAGCAACCAATCACAACCCTCCACCATTTACTTTTACCTATTTTTTTAATAACCGTGTCCAACTCTAAAAATCATAATATTCTGGGACGGAGAGTGTAATTCTTTGTACCCAAAATACTCGCGGGTACAAAAACTCTCAGCATTAAACGTTCGACGTAAAGAAAAAAAAAATTGTCATCGCCGTTGCCGGGGATCGAACCCGGGTCACCCGCGTGACAGGCGGGAATACTCACCACTATACTACAACGATTTGGATGCTTTAGACGTTGGCAGTCTCATACCTAACAAATTAGTATTCAGAGAGTTACAGCTTGATACCCCAACTTCGGTTACTAGCTACAGAAACACAGGTTATTAATGCTTGATACCCCAGCTTGACAATCACGTACTCATGTGGCAATCCGGCAACACTACATTGCCCCCCCCCCCAACAGCCAGGATAAAAGAATCGTAGTACTGAACTATAGAGCTAGAAACATTTCCAATGACAAATCCCATTGGATATACAGGTATACATGGCGATGATGCCACAACCCACAAGTTGGGTTCTGAGCAGAGTAGTAATATCTTTCTGCTAATACACAGCTGAGGGTTACACTTGCACAAATACTTTCAGGATTTCTTGGCATGGGTACCAGCTTCCGGGGAGCATATCAGCTGGGGCAGATGTATGGAGTATAAGGTTGCAAAAGTAAGGAAAGCAGAGCTAAATGCTACGAAAATCTTGAACCATACAGACGAGAACAGGGTCAGGTACGTGAGGACGGTCGTTGTGCTGATTACCGCTACAAAATTCGCGATGCACTTGAGTGTGGACAGATCATCTTCAGTTCCTTCGTTGGGGAAATGGCCAAGTGCCGAGAAATCAGACAGAAGCTTGTTCTTCAGTTTAAATCTCTCGATCAGCCAATCGGCGACTTCATCTTCTGAGGTGGGTATGTCAGAGACTTGAATGATTTTAACATGTATGTGAACTTCAGAAGGATCAATACCATAAACATTGTCCATAAAAGTCGGTGGCCGATGCTTATATGCGATTGTGATGTCACAAACTGCATCAGTTAACCAGCTACGACTATAAGTCACGCAACAAAAAAGGAAATCCCAACAGCAAAAGCTGTATAAAAAATATAATCAAGCAAGCCTTTCAATGTTTCAAAAAATTATCAGGACTTTGGTTAAGTTGTCTGCAAATGATACTTTTAGCAGATAGTATTTGCAAATGATCAACAAATAAATCAGGTGATGAAGTGAAAATACTGAAGAACAGATGAAGAAGGGAGGGATGGGGTTTACCACTTACCAGAATCCATGGAGTCCCTCAACTCTTGTAGACAGCAATGAAAACCCTTTGTCTTGGGAAGGAGGACATTATTCAGAATAGGCAATCCGTGCTCTTTTGCATACTCTTGACTCTTGATACACTTTTTCTCCCTGAGATATTAGCATCAAATAGAATACAAATAAAGAAGGGGAAAATGAAAAAAAACTAATGCATGGTTACTTCTAGGGATGCAGAATCCTATTATTCAATTTGAACAATCAGCATTTATGCACCATAGTCAAAAAGTCAAAAGTTGTTTTTCGAAAAGTACAAAGAACTCTGGACTATTTGTGTTACCCAAAAGTTCTAATCTATAATATTTCAACAATTGATTAGAAAACTCTAGAATGAGTGCCCATATCACAGGGTGGGTTATACAAACATGTAATAATATACTGAATGAATGGAAAGACACCTTACGTGTAATCCGTGCCTTCAGGGAAAACTGCCAACCAAAGGGGATCCTTAGGGTTCTTTAATTCCGAAAGTCTACTTCGGATTAATGGTTCATCAACCTCCCACTTCCGCTCTACTGGAATAAATTCAATAATGTGAAATGCCCAGTTAAAAATAGGCAACTTCATCAAGCTTTTCTTAAGGATATACTTGATGCACTGCAAACGGCCTTTCCTCAACGCAAGATCCCACAAGTACATCCAATCAACCTCGGTTCTGTGATTAGCAAATAACAAGACACGCTCTTTTGGGGGCACAGTTTCGCCAGAGAAAACAAACTTGGTCTTGTTAATCTTCTCAAACAAAAATGGCCACATTGCTAACCACATCCCAAACAGAAAGCATGTCGACTTTCTGCTGTAATGCACACTGAACAACCGTATGAGGAAAGTAGTTACAGGGGATAGGTAAACCATCATCATAAATGCTGTCAACGGCATAATAACCAAACATAACATGCCACGGCACCGTCTCATTAGAGTCAATGGCCGGTGTCTTGGTCCATTGTTCTGAATGGAAGGAACAACGCTTTGCACTTGCTTTCCATTCACATGATACCCTTGGGAACCATTTGAACCATTCATCATGTACGAATTAAATGTGAACTCTTGTCAACTTCCTAAAATTCACATGCTCAGCACCGATGAGACCATGCAAACCCCACCTGTTTCGGGAGAAACTAGAGCATCACATAGCAGATACAGATCAATGTAAGCATTAAACAATCAGCTCAAAAGTACGCATCTTTACATGCCTCGTGCAAATCTATATATAAAAAGAAGTTTTGTTACCAAAATACGAAAATCTACAACAAGAGATAAGCAAAAGCTAACAGAAAACACGTATACTAAAAGACTGTCACATATGGCTAGAATTCTGGAACATAAGGTGGCCTATCATTGTGCCATGATACTACTATGATGGAAAACGATGAATGGCCTTCAATTATGGCAGTAAGCAAATCGGGAAAGGCTATTAACTGACAGACTGAGTTCAGTCAAGCAATTCTGTGATAGTAGCAGCCTAGCAGAGCATCTACAAACGGTTTAAGCTATCATTTCCCGTTTCATTATTGGCACAACACACACAAACAAACCAAGGAATGCGGAATGCCAGTGACAAAAATCCAGAAGTGCAGCTCGGACAGTACGGTGAGAAGTGGCAAAAGAAAAGCTACTAGTAGCAAAGCAAGCTGCATCTGCACGCAAAGCTCACCAATCAAGACTGGCCCGCCACCCCAGAGCTACTAGTAAGCTCAAACCATCCTCCAATTCGACCACTGTGCGAACGACCCAAACGATCTAGCACCAACGCTTCACTCATCCTACGGAGAAATGCCACTCATCACCGCACCCAAATGGAGAGAGAGCAAAGAAACGAAGGCGCAGCTAATAATAATCCACCTCATTAGCTCTAACCTCGCACGAAAACAAAAAAATATCCGCGCTGGATCTGCGAGAGGAACAGGAAAAGGGAACTACACCGAAGCGGATTAGCGGCGCTTACCGGCGAGTGTCGGCGGGCGGCGGCGATCCGGCCGGGGAGAGGCTCGAGGAGAGGTTTGGGTGGGGGAGCACCGGAGCAGCAGCAAAAAAACGAGCGGATTAGCGGGGGGGGGGGTACTAGAAGGGGTTTATAGTGGGATGGATGGATGGGCGGTGGAGGGGAGGCGGTGGGGCCCACGAGGCAGTGGGACAGCGGGAGCAGTCACGCGATGACGATGGGTGGGCCTCTCTCGCACGCGTCGGTAAATCGGCGGCCGCCCATGGCTCCACGCGCGCGTGCCCCTACATGAGTCGGTCGGACCTAGGAGTAGTAAAGCCCTTTGTTTAGTTTCTTTTTCTTCGACCTTTCAATTTTTCCATCACATTAAAACTTTTCTACACAAATAAACTTTCAACTATTTTCTTCGAACTTTTAATTTTAATCAAACTTTCAATTTTAACTAAACTTTCAACTATTTTCTTTCCATCGTATCGTAACGGGTGCGCCCGCGTTGAGGTGAGGGCGAGTTCACGCAAAAATGAAAAAAAAATGTAAAATTTGTCGCCGTTGCCGGGGATCGAACCCGGGTCACCCGCGTGACAGGCGGGAATACTCACCACTATACTACAACGACTTCGGTGCTTCAGGGTTTCCAGCATTTTTCTTTTAATCTTAACAAGACTAGACAACGAGAACACAAATCGTTATGAAATCAGGTCGGGTGCGACCATAGCATTTGTACCTCCTAGCTCATATTTCTACCGGATTTTTATTTGCAATTTAAGAAATTACAATGTAAATGCATACCAATTATTTTTTTAATAAAAAATGTGACGACATATATAGCGGCGGATACTGCCCGACTACTTTAGGTAGTTGCCCGGGCTCCCAAGCCTGCATCTATTGAGTCGTTCTTTGTGAGCCGGTGATTTTGCAGGCAACACAACACTAAACTAGGCCAGGCAACGACAGGCACGAGCGGCTGCAGGAGTCATAGACCTTCGCAATGCAACACGCCGGTTCACCACATGAACGCAACCCTTGACTTGGTGCTAGTTTCAAATGGTTGAAGCAATTTGAGGTGTTTAGCTTTTGTAAAGTACAAATTTGTTCTCATTAGTTGGCTGGACGCTAGGTGTTCCAAGTGCTTGTCGGATTTTGCTTGAAAGAGGGGTGATCCCAGGCTGTTAATTGTGTTGAGAAGACATTGCCTGAAAACTATTTCAAAATCTTATTCCTAAAGCTGCCATATGGGTCATGATAGGATTGGAGTAATATTGGTGGTTCATATATGTAGTTCAAGTGGGCTCTCTCCTGTTTGAGGCCCACAAAAAAGGCACGAAGGGGTTAGCACTGAACAAGCAGATTTTAATATGATCAAGTTATTGCTCGATAATCTTTTTTTTTCATTGCAATGCACGCATATTTTTTCTAGTATAAAGTATATGTGTTTTTTTTTTCAGAATGAAAATGTCCATATGTTATGTATCTTGTGAATGAAAAATATGAAGATTCTCTTGTAAACGTATTGAGATCGCGTCATAGTTTTTATGGCGTTGCTAACGCATCGTGGTGCTCTGCTAGCTCCAGGGTGTCCTGAGGCTTACTAGCCAGTGTACGGTGACCCCACTCCCATGTTAGGAAATAAGAGGAGAGGGGGGATTATAGTAGGATTCCATCTCATCTGGAACTCTAGTAGTGGCGGCGACTTCTCTAATCCACAACTCCTGTCACCATCAGCTTTGGTTGCGAAAGATATGTCTCCCTCGCCTCCCCACTGGCATCCTTGTTGCTCCATCCATTGCTTCCTTCCTCTGCTCGGCTTGGCTTGGTTCACCTCTACCTCTTGCTTCTTTCCTCTGCTCACCTCCTCTACCTCTAGCTTTGTTGTACGCTATCGATGACAGCAAGCCACTTTTTTCACTTGGTTTTCTCATGATGCAGCGACCGTGGACATTTCATGCATGATGCCTTTAGGGTAGAGATGTTTGGCCTATAGGTTATTGGGTTTTGTGGGCCAGTACGAGGATTGGTTTGATAGGTTGTTTTTTGCCATTTTTTTTTATTTCTTTCATATCAATTTATTCCATAGTTCTCCCCTAAAAGCTAGCAGGGCATCTTCTTAGGGCATTGACATACCTTAGCAGCACCACCAACTGGTTTTATATATGGAGCTGTAATAGAAGGTGTAGTAGGAGAATTTCCTATCAGTAAAAAAGAATTAAAGTTGAAAGCTGACAATTATATTTATGTAGGCAATGGCTTTACCAAGATAATGCTACCTTGTTTTACAAGCTATCTAATCAGGTAAACCTGAACCAAATGCGATACGTGGTGTATTCAATATGGTCTACAATCATTTGAAGTATAGGATAGCAATGGATGGTAAATTGTTCCAAAATGCTTATACCAGACTCATCGTGCACTTCTAGGATGCATGAAGAAATGATATTGTGAAAGAAAAAAAATCTTGGAGCTTTATTATACGTAACAGGTCTAACCGAGTCATACTTAAACACTATCCAGTTTCTTTGATGAAGAACTAGTAACACACGTGGTGAAAGTGTTGTGGAGACATTTGAGACGTGGGAACCATATAAAGAAGTAATTGTAGATAAGACTGTGGTGTGAGATCTGCTATCCAGGTTACTCAGGTTACAAAGATTTTGTACCGTCTTAAGATAAACGATGAAGGTTTTCATACTGGCAACCTTTCAATCCCACTGAATTTGGATGAATATGAAGAATATGTCAATGATGTCAATTGTGTTGGGTATCCAAATTGGATAATAGAGAATTGACCACAAGAAGATGAAATGGAGGGGGAAGGAAGACATGACAAACAAGATCAGTATTCTACAACACCTAAGGATGGAAGAGATAAAATCCAATTTTACGCCCTCCTCCCCCTTATCCCACTAAGACATCAGCAAATCTGCTGTGTAAGTGGGCAGGTTCTGACGATTGTGTCCATGTGACTTTACATTGAAGAGGTACTTAGTTTTGTGCACACAATTTTCATTCCGTGTTATATACATTGCACCGTCATGAAACTAGAAACTATTTTGATTTATTCCTAGGTCTCTCTTGATGTAGAAGTTTGTCCAGTCCATGCTTGTGCAAAATAAAGTATGAAAATAACACATGTCCTACAGTACATCATTTTTATTCGGATGGCTTGTGTATCTCTTTTGTATCACAGGTTCATCTTGATATTGAATCTATTACTGACCCTTTATGGTCTGACTCAAAAGTATGGAACCCATTCTCAGGTAAAGAAATATGTCCTTAATATTCATGTACTCCTTGAAATTATAGGCAATGGATTTGTTGGTATGTGCTTAACTTTTTACCCCACACCTTTAAAATCCTAACAAGTGGACATGTTTCCTGAATTGTGTTTCCAATCCTATCTTCCTATATAACTAGTTGATACCCCGTGCTTTGTTGTAAGATATGTGGATGAATGCATGTTATATATTATACAAATGATATATGTATATGTTTAAATAATGTGAAAATGATGTGGAGATAATGATTTGACATTGCTTGATATTGAGTTCTAAAAATACAACAAAATTATAAATTATATGTCATGTTTGCATGATATTTAAAATACTCTAGATAATAATTACTAGTTGGTGATGATGTGGCACACTTGTATGTGATTTAAAATATTCTAAATAATAATTATCAGTGGATGATGATGTGACACACTTGCGTGTTAAGCTTTACGAATTAGTGTGTATACAATGGAAGGATGATGTATCTAGTTAGTGAGACATCAACCAGCTGGTTTAGAGTTGTAATAGAAGGTGTAGTAGGATGACTAGTTTAGAGTTGTAATAGAAAGTGTAGTAGGAGAAAGTGTAATATCAATTGATTTTCCAAATAGAGTATTTGATTGTTTGACACCAAAACAAAATTAGGATGACTAGTTTGGAGTTGTAATAGAAAGTGTAGTGGGAGAAAGTGTAATATCAATTGATTTTCCAAATAAAGTATTTGATTGTTTGACACCAAAACAAAATTCCTACCCAATATACAGGAAAACTATAAGACAATATAAAACATTATAACAATTCAGTGTAACTCATACAATCGTGCTAATGAAGTTTAGAATGTTGCAGCTTAGGCTGTTGCTACATAAGTATAAAATTACATCACCGGTATGTACTGACAAAATAAACCATAAATTACTGTCTTAATATGAGTGGACAATTGCAAGCATCACATCTCTATTGGATATCATCAATAAACATTAGATATGATAGTTAAGTAGGAGAGTAACATAGAAGACATGTATATTTCTATAACAATGTATATTTCTATAACAAAAGGTAAAAATAAAAATAAAAATAAAGCGGAACCTATTAACTGTCATATTTATTGATGTGCTCTAATATATATTGGTCGATGCATCTTCAGCGATTGGTTTGCTTATATTGATTGGAAGGGCATTCCTCCATGTAAAGAGAGCCATAATTTTTTTAAACACGAAGAGAGCCATAATTTGTAACAAAAAGTGGTAAGCAGGAAACATAAAGAGATATATGTTTTGGTTAAGGTCCATATCAGTACATAAGAAAAAAGAACAAGCATATATGTGCATGTATGGCAAAGTCTAAATGACTTTCAAGATTTTTCTTTCAAATAATCTTGCAAGGTTCAACAGTTTACAGGGGTGATAGAGACCAAATGACGATCTGTTGAAAGTTGAAAACAAATATTTACTAAGTATATATGTGAAAACTAAACAATTCCAAAGGAACATTATTCTAATCATTCAAATAATCTATGGATCATAGGTTGGCTATAGGTAATTATGACATCCATAATCAGTGAATGTAACATTTTTATTGAAAAAAAGCAGTATGAAATCATGCAAACTGGAGCCTAAATTGATCCGACATGATTCAATATTGTCCGACCAAATCAAACAGAAAAGGAAATGACACAACACTAAAACAATAGATGTGGCTATGTAGTGTGTTCTAGGTGACACCCACCTTTTAGCGTTTGGAACATTAATTTGACTAATCCTGATTATGTTGCACTTCCACCATAGCGGGACTGAAAAAATGGGAATAGTCAAGAGTTATATTATCACATCACATATAAGCATTATACAGGAAAACATCGTTGAGCAAAACATTAATAAAGTGCCACCAAACTTTGATTAATTAGAAGCATCAAGTTAGAGAAAGACATGAAGATTCCACCTGTAGACTTTTACATTTTCCCCTTGAAGGTAGAAACAAACATTCTGTATTCTTGAAGCAGTAAAATCAAAAGGCACGGTCATTCCACTTACAAATAAATCAAAAAGCACAACTGTTTAAATGTAGTGTATGAATATATGGCCTGGACTTTGCTATCATAGAGTAGCCGTGGAAGTAATCAAAACCAAAATGAATGTAGAAAGAAAGTGGTTAGCAACCTAGAATACATGTTTAGAGATCTTACATCTTTAGGACTTAGGGGAAATTATGAAGAGACACCAACTTCGCCACTCTGTAGAGACAGATTTGAGAGCGGAACAATGCGACGAACAACAATGCCAAATCCAGCTGAAATCTCCAAAAGCATAATAAGAGAATAAAAGAGGAAAAAATCAGGAAATTCCACAACTACAGTAGATATCATATGAAAATAAACATTAGAGGCTGGCGATAGAGTATAGACCCATAGGACTTGTCGCGGCAAGCCTACAACACTACGATGACGTCAGATGACAATGGGCACGGAGACTCCAGAGGAGAAACCCATCAAGTAGAACAAATTTGTTTTGTATACTACTGGCTTCGCAATTTATTTACATCAAACAAAGAAGATGAATCGGCAGAGACGAGGTGCTGCCGCATGATATGAATCAGCGGAGACGGCGGAAGGGTGGAGATGGGAAAAAAACTTTGGTCTCCAGTATGGGACAATAGGAGCATCACCGCACTTTCCACAGCTTGAGATGCAAGTATATACGATCCAAAGGTGCATACATCAACCAAAGGCACTGTAGTTTCTACAGTAGTATAGCAAGATGTGGCAGCTTGGCTGAATTGGTATACAAAACTATAAGTTTTATTGATAAGATATCAGTAGAAGTATAAGATATAAATGGATTGTGAACTGTTCCAATATGCTTGTATCAGACTCATTGTGTATTTTTAGGATGAACAACGAAATGATGTTGTAAAAAAAATCTTGGAGAGCTTTATTATATGGAACATGTTTAACCGAATTATACTTGAATACCATTTGGTTGTATTTGAATTTTTAATTAGTTGTCGTTCAAAATTTTGGTTGCATTTAAAATTCTTGTGTGTTGTCGCTTAAAATTTGGATTAAATAATGTTCAATTTTTTCGTTGGGTACCGAGAAGGCGAACTACCTGACCAATACAATTCATGCTACACACTATACACCTAAAAAGTAGATTCGCGTTGCATAAAACTGCTAGCAAGGCAAAATACATCATGCACTTGGAAATTGAACTCTCATTAAATATATTTACATGTAAGGCGAACTCCTATAGGATCCATACAGTTAAATATTGCACAATGCACGAAGCGAACCATTATCTATTGTTGATGTAAAAACACAAGGCTTGGGAGATCTGCTTAACTCCAGTGCAGGTCCAAAACTTGCCTTTGGGTGTGTGAGCGTGCCAGTTGATTTGATCCTGCAATCAACAAGAAACAAAAACAAAGAAACCGCGGTTAAATCCATAAACGATAGCCGATCGGCTAGATGCTGATGACATATCATTTATCTTTGAGCCGATGTCATAGGTAGATTGATCGGCGATCATGAATAAGTGATTAAAGAACTAAATCTACTCGATCGACTGTAGATATTAACAATATGTAATCCCTATATCGATATATACTTTGATACTCAGACTACCAAATTTGGTCGTTAACACCTATATTTCTACAATACACGAAGCGAACCATAAGTTACCCATATTTCTACAGTTTCACTGTTGTTATTAATTGTGTTGACAATTACGAGTAAATGTATTTAATGTTTATACTGCTATGAACATATAAATAGAGGGTTCGATGTTAATCTCTTTTGAACAATTCACTTGCATGAAAGATGAGCCCCTATATCCCAACATTTGCTTGCAATGTAAGATAGGGGCATGGCATCGTTGGTGCTACGAAATATCCAAATATGTCCACGGTATATATGTTTCATATTATTTTACTTGCATTGTCTGCTCTTTGTCTAGTTTTCTCTATCTACATAATGCGATGAATATAAATGATATATTTATATGCAATTATCATTTCAGAATCCAAGGGATCTGACCATTGCTAGTTCCCCAGATAAATATTTTAAACTTGTTAGAAATTTGAATCCTCTCTAGATAGCTGTTATGAAAAAAGTTGGATCTGCAGGACTGTTAACAATGCCCGATGTGAACATAATTGAAAGATATGTATTTGGTTGGCTTACCGCTATGACGTCGATCGATACGGGCACGGAACTGTGCGAGCTGGGCCTACAGCTCCACTTATGGGCTGAGCCGAAATATGGGCACAGAATTGTGCGAGCTAGGTCTACAGTTCCACTCGTGGGCTGAGCCGAAGAGAGGCAAGCCGAACAAAGGAAGGTAGCGGACTAGGTTGGGACTGGAGCTAGAAATGAAGGAAGGAATGAGCATTCGGTTCAAAACCAAATGAGAGGTATATAACAATGTATACCGTTGCAACGTACGGGTGTTATATAATACGGAACACATGATAGAAATAACTCATCCTATATTCTAACTCATATTTATTCACGGATTCAAATAGAACTCATACAATATATTTTCCACTATCGTATCATTCCCGCAACCGTCGGGTCAGGCGGGTGCGGAAAATACCCGCCCGTTTTCACCCCTAAATACAAGATCCCAACGCTTCCCCATTCTTGAATCCGTGTACAGGCAGCTGATCTGATGCAACAGGAGTCATTTAGAAGTCGTCGTCCTGGTTGGGCTTGGGGGAGGTGAGGATGGCGGTGTAGAGCCTGAGCTTCTCCTCCCCGAGGGACGAGCACCGCGAGAGCGGCCTGCGCGGGCGGATGAAGGAGAGCGAGGCGAGCGTCTTGCGGTGCTTGTACCGCCGCCACGCGAGCTGCACGGCGACGGCCGCCCACGTCCGCCACCCGTGGGAGTAGTACCGCGCGCTGCGCCGCACCTTGTCGCTGGTGAAGGTGTACCGGAAGTGCTGCGTCACGTACTTGACGTCGCCGGCCTCCAGCCCGAACGCCTCCGTGCTCTCCGCCGTCACCAGCGTCGACGACGACGCCGGCAGCCGCTCCATGAACGGCCGCCTCATGCACCACGACAGCAGCTCGTCCCCGCTGAAGTTCCCCGGCCCCAGCGTGCACCAGCTCGTCGCCCCGTTCCTCATCACCTGGCTGCACTGCAGGTGCCCCCTCACTATGAACAGCATCCTCTGCACCGGGTCCCCTTCTCTCACAATCTGCACAAAACCAACCAACCACACCTCAGCTTCTAGCAATGGACATGGTTTTTTCTACACCTAACTATCATGACACCCATTATTTGTATGCAACCTTAATAGTTATTTAAAAAGTTGAAAAGAAAATAGTAACATTAATGAGATGACATAAATTTGATCTATAACTACAGAAAGAGAAAATAATAAAATCAGATAGTGAATAGTACTGTATATAAAATTTATTATTTTTATCTTTTTATGTATAAATCGAACCTAAATTTATGTGGTTGTATAGCGTCTTATATTATCATAATCTATCTTATCAAATTATATAAAACTTTTATATAACTATTTAGATCACATACATATAACGTGTTGTAACGCATTTTTCCGTTCCCGCCAACAATGACTTGGCTTCCAAAAGGCCTAAGTGTGTGAGCAGAGTACTCACGATCTCGCCCTTGGGGAAGATGAGGGACTTGACGCGGTCGCAGATGTTCTCGAGGACGAGGTCGTCCATGTGGTGGAAGAGGGGGACCTGGCGGACGAGGTCGAGGCAGAGGTGGTACTTGATGTCGCGGCGGAGGCCCTCGGGGAGGTCGCGGACGATCTGGCACTCGTCCACCCCGCGCGTCGCCGCCCACCGCTGCCGCTCGAACTGCCGCACCCGCTGCCGGAACCCGTGCGGCACCCCCTTGTGCTCCATCCACCACTCCAGCCCGCGCAGCCGCGTCTGCATCGCCTGCTTCTTCGACGTCGTCGCGTTCAGGAACACCTTGATGTTCCCGATCAGCATCGTCACCAGGATCAGGCCCCCCGTGATCGTCATTATGTTGAACACGATCTCCACCCACTCCGTCGTGCTCTCCAGATTCCCAAACGTGCTGCAACAAACATGCAAAAACTTATCAATGGGAGATGGATTTTCATTTCTCGAGAGGGCGTCCTTCGGTTTTTTTTTCATGTCACCTGAATAGTCATGAAAAAATTAAAAGGAAATTGACAATGTGAATTTGTATGAAATATATACATAATATATCAGCCCCATCGTTTGGCCTAAACAGTCAAAGAATAAGCCAAAATTTGAATTTTTGAACTTGATTTTGAAGTTGATTTTGATATGCTTTTAACGTAATTTTTTTGTTAATGTTGGCTTTTAAGTCGCTACGTACAAATCTACAAAAGTTTTACTTATAAATTAATTTTTATTTTTTAATAAGCCATTTTAGCTTATTAGGCAAAATGGGTAACCGATGGGAGCCTATAACTCCACAAACATATAAAGCTAAATTCAAATGAAAATAGTTAATGTGCATTCGCAGTTTTTTTTTTTGCAATTTACATATGTCAAATTTATACTTGTATTTCTGTGAAGTGATATATATTTAATATTAATCTATCTTATAAAAAAGTTTTAAAAAATAATAACTATTTAAGTGATATGCAAGAGGATATGACCTCGAAAGATGAAAACACTTTCCCTTATAAATAACAAGATCAGATGAGCATTTAAGAACTAAGAACACAGTTATTAGATCTTTGATTCACCTGAGGGTCATGAGGCCCCAGAAGATGGGGAGGAGCATCTTCTCGAGGCGGCTGGGGTTGGAGACGAGCATGACGGTCCACTTGTACGCGCCATACTGGTAGTTGTCGCCGCTGCTGAGGCACACGTTCCTGGCCGTCGCGTTCCCGCCCCAGGCGAGCCGGTCGCCGCCGACGGACGCCACGGCGGCGCCGTAGTACAGCGGGTCGACGCACGCCACCGCCGCCGTGGACGACGCGCACGCCGGCAGCCCGGCAAGCAAGCACTGCTCCTTCAGGCACTTGGTGGCCCTCTGGACCCCCAGCAAGTACCAGCACGCGCCCACCGCCTATTGCAAGAACAAAAAAAAACACAAACGCCATTGACGACACTTGATGATGGCATCCAGTGCTGATTAGTTAGTGTAAGTTATTACTGACGTGAGCGGCGACGAAGTAGGCTATGAGGTTGAGGGCGATGCCCCACCAGATGGTGCCGAAGATGTGGCCGGACTGGTTCTGCATCCGGCGGAGGAAGACGACGGAGTGGTAGATCTTTGGCAGGTACTCCAACATGAACGCCACCAGCATCACCGTCATCACCGCCGTCGTCGACCCCGCCCGTATCATCGCCGGCGCCGCCACCCAAACCACCACCTGCATACATCACACACATACACGAGGGCTGAGGCTGAGTTCTTCTCCAATTTTCCCAACTCACGTACCTCGTTTTTCACGTGCACGCTTTTCAAACGGTTTATAAACGGTGTGTTATCTATAAAAAAATTTCTATACAAAAGTTATTTTAAAAATTCACATTAATCTTTTTCTAAAAAAATAAATACTTCACTAATAAAAAAATATATCGCTATGTTTTACGAGCGCGGGAGATAAGTTCTCAGCCTCACCTTCCGAACACAGCCTGATCACTGCATGATGAGAGAGCCTATATAATATTGACACGAAAAAACACATAACGAACACAACCACAAATTAAATTCAGATACTACAAACTAGACGTAAGAGCCGTAAAGCAATGGCCATTGGCCCCATCGATCCCCAATTATACAAACAAATACGAGCAGCTAGCAGCAGCTACAGTATAAATGCATAAACTAGCTATCCATGAAGGGCACATGCTGTAGCAGATAGACGAATAATGTGCATTGGGACAAAGCTGCCAGCAGAAACAGAACGAATGAATTCCCTATACCCTGCACTGCTCGCTCGTTCGTCTGTTCATCGACAGATCGAGACTGATCGATCGATATGGACGGACCGGGCACGTTGCTGTGCACAGAGCTCATGCGATCGTTGAGCTTAATCAGTTAAGAGCCGTCTAGTGAAATGACTGCAATAATTTGCAAAGCTAGCTAATAGCTACAAGCTGCGTACTGTACTGGTATTTTGGACACGGCGAGTTGTCACGTAAAGACACGCACAGTGAGTGAGCCATTCGTTACCCGTGTTGACTGTTGAGCAAGATCAAATATAAATTACATTTAGGTGAATCCCTACAAACTAATATCAAAAAAAAAATCCCTACAAACTAAAACAAAATTAAATACTGCAGAAGTTAAAGTTCTACACCTCTGCTGCAAAATGGCATACTAGAAAATAGGATTTGAACGGACGATTTTTTTTTAGAAAAAAAAATTGATACTGATACTGATTACTGGACTAATAGTAGACATGATTAACACCATAAAAACTACAGGAACATATTTGCAAGAGAGCCTTGTAAATGGATCGATTTGCCCACCTGCATCACGGGGAGAATGACGAAGAAATCCAGCACCAACCATTTCCTGTACCTCCCGTGGTCACGGAGCTTGTTGCTCGCGGCGGCGTCCGCGTCCGCCGCCGGCGCCGGCGCCGCGGCCTCAGCCTCAGGCTGCTCCTCGTCGGGGCCGGCGGCGCACGCCCGCTCCCGCCCGGCGCGCGAGACGCGGAGCTGCGTCACGATGTTCCACGCGTGCATGGCGTCCACCATGCACCGGAGCGCGGTGACCGCGGCGGCGAGCCAGCCGTCGAGGAAGACGCACATGAGCGGCCCGCTCAGCGACACGGCGTACAGGAACAGCGGGTCCACCATGAGCCCCGCCGCGCAGGCCAGCAGGTACGCGCGGTTCCACTCCCTGACCCACCTCGCCCGCGGGTCCGCCGCCGCCCACGACGCCGCGGCGCCGCCGCCGAGACGCCGCCACCGCTGCCGCCGCCGCAGCACCAGACGGCGCTTGGACGACACCTCGCCACGCGGCGTCCCTCCATGTTCCGGCCCCCGCGCGTCGCCGGGAGGGGAGCTGCTCGACGAGGAGGTCGACGCGCGCGTGGAGAGCTCGCCTGACATGGCGCGCGGCGGCGTGCAGCTACGGCGGCGGCGAGCCCGTCGATCGAGCACCACCGGAGGGGCACGAGCATGTGGAAGCGAACGGCTCTCGCCAGGTAGATGGATAGCTTCGTTGTACAACAGCAATTGGTGCCTCTCGTGCACTCAGACTCAGTGACCGTACATAAAAAAGGGTCTCGTTTTGTACGTACATGTGAGACAGAGACATGCGTGTCAGCGTGTGCTGCATTGCAGATTTGCCATGTGTCTCACTTGATCTTTTTCTCACTGAATTTTCACATCGGTCTACATGATCAACCATGTTTGGTACTATGGGGCTGTTTGGTTGGCTCCTAAAGGTTGCCATGCCAAATCTTAGATATGCCACAATTCGTTAGTATAGTGTTTGGTTGGTTGTCACACTTATGTCATGTCCCACCTTACAAATCATTGGGCCTACGCGTCATAAACTCAAATTCTTACCAAACTTAGCCACACTTGTGGCCAACAAATTACTAGCCTCACTTTGTGTGGCATAACACACTTGTGGCAAAGTGAGAGGTGATAAACTTAACCATCAACCAAACAACCCCTATATTTCTCTTAAGGGCATTGTCTAACAACTCAATTCTCAACGTGTCGTAACAAAAATCATCTCAACACACGCACAAGTGCCCTAATCATCCATGATCAAGTACTCACGGGTGAAGATCAGGCGATCTTGAGAAATCAGATAAGTTCCCTTGTACTCGGAGAAAGCTATCTTAGAGCAGATACAATAGCAGGCTATAAGCTAGCTATAAATATATTTTAAAGAGATAAAAGAAAAGAGAGAAGAGCAGCGGGCTACAGATCTGTAGCCAACTGCAGCACAGACTCCAAGACGTACTGTGTATATGACAGGTAGAACCAGATACTAATAGTATAGTAAACAACTATTGTATGAATTGACTATTACATTGGCTATAGATGATTTATAGCTAGTAGTTGGCTATTATATTAAACTTGCTCTTAGTTGAATGATCAATGAACACGAGTGGATGTCAGTTTAATGCTCTCGCTTCATTGATGGCTATATTGAAGCGATGTTTGGATTGAGCGAAAACAAAACACATATTGACATATAGAAATAAACATACATATAAAAAAAAGGAAATGACAGCATGAAGGTTGCGACAGTGATGGAGGATTGCAGCGTGGCAATGGCGGCTTGATGCCCAGGACGGTGCTGAATGGTCCGGACTAGATCCGGCTGCTCTCCGGCATAGGAAGGGGATTTTGTTGTGGCAGCTCCGCAAAGGTGGTGGCTCGAGGCGACAACGATGGTCTCATTTTCCTGCTATAGAGGATCAAAGGTGTTCTTGGATCGGAGGTGGTTCTGAAGACATCCGGTGAGGGTGGATTCAACCTAATAGCCAAATCTAGTGTCCTTCAGGTGAGCGAGGTGGCTATAACAAGAACCAAAGATGACGGGCTTGTTAGTGTTGTTGTGGTAGCCAGTTGCTGGACCTGACCTAATGGCCAGATCCAGTATCATTATGGTGAACAAAGTGTCTTTAGTGAGCAACAAAATCTGTAGGATGACGATAGGTTAGTTGTTAATGTCGGCAACGGCTGGGGCATGACACATCATCTAGGGCCTAAGTGCCGCTTAGATATGGGGTATCTATGTCCATATTCGTTCATAGAACAAATAGTGTTCGTGGGGCTTTTTCTTCATTATTTTCACTGGACAGAGTCAGTCAGCAAAGGCACTAGGGTCCAAGATCAGGATCGATTGGATTTGGCCGACAGTAAGGGTAGCGTGGGGAAGGAGTCTATTAGATGTGGATCGATCGTGCATGAGGGGTGTAGGAGTTGGAACTGCGCGTCAAGATCGACTCAGTGCGTTTTTTTTTTTTTGCGTGGCATCACTCATAAGGTAGTAGAAGATCGAAGCTAATATGAGTATTCATGTAAGGGATATAGAGACTGGATTTCTATGCATTACTTTTAAAAAAGAAATAACAAATCCTATATAAAATAGAGGACTGAAAAATAAAGGAAATTGTAGATGTATAGTTGTTTGGAACAGAAGAATTTTAGACTTGCTTAAATTAACAAGCCCTAATACTACCACACAATCGTTGTGCTCTCAATTTTGTAAATCAAACATAATTTAACTTTAGGATGCTTTAAGATGATTTCTAACGCGTTCATGATATATTATTGCTATCTGGCGCATGTGCGTTCCTAGTGCACACTATTTCATATGAATGTTTTCATATAAAAGTTCCTTCGATGAAAGTTCTTTGGATGTATGTTTTGCGTATGAAAGTATTTTGGGTAGAAGTTATATGGATGGAAGTTTTTTGGAAAAAAATATTTTTTTGGAACGAACATGCGCTAAATAGCAACCCCCTTCATAATAAACATTACTTATTGTGTAATGCATGCATGGAAGATCTTATCGATCCCGTTCTATATTTTATTTGGAGAACAAAATTTGGATTAGGTGCCAAACATGATATGCAAGAAAATTATCTTCGGATAATTGTATCAGAAATGATTGCAAAGGACAGGGACATTACTATTCTAAAATCATAGCTAATAATATGGTTGCAAGGAAGAACATCAAAGCTTTCTTTTAAAGCACAACATTTGCCCACGATGATTTTTACAATTTTTGTTAATGAATTCGTCCAACATTGGTGTTCATAGCCTTATAGCTAGTCTCCTCTACCAAGCGTGTATTAAAATTAGGAAAGTTTATAGAGATGAGGGAATGGTGCGCGTAAAACAATAAGTATGCTGAACTCTTTTTATCATTATTATTTAACCTTTTCAATTTTTAACTTTAAAAATAAACTCTCCTAAAAGTTATTTTCAAAACTGAACCTTTTAACCATGCCGATCTGACTGTCATGGCAGCGTTGTTTCGTGCCTCGCTGGTCTAGCTAACGTTGCAGCGTTGTTTCGTCACACTAGGCAATTAAGATGGCATGGCTAAAAGTTCAAATTTTGGAAATGAGTTTTGGGAGCGCTAATTTTTAAAATTAAACCTTAAAAGCTTTCAACAAAATAACAAAAATACAAGTATATGCGTCATCCTTGTATCTCCTTAAGCTTCTGAATATGCACTTGTGCTAGCCGTCAAAAGGAAAAACAGAATGGAAGTTCACGATTCATGAAGAAGCAAGCAGAGAGACACTGGTAGGAGAGGGAGGAAACTTCGTGGCAACTTCCAGCAGATCGTTCCCAATTCATCTGGTGGCTACCGTGAGCTCGAGCACACATGCATCACCATCGTGTCGATGGCATGGACGACTCTTCCACCGGCAGAAATTCCGTACGGCATATATAGCTTGTTCTTGTTCTTCTGTAGGCCAAAGATATATCACGTCGCGATCGATCGGTATTCATTCGAATTGGACATGCATGCATGAGCCACAGACACAGTAGTAGTACGGGTGATTATTAACCGAGAAACATTTGATGTGTGTGTGGTCTTCTCCAAGCCTGAATATGAGGAGATATCACGGCCAACCACGCGCGTCGTTGTCGCGTACGGCATCTGTGCTCTTGCGACCCCACCAACGATCTGATCAGATCTGTCACACCTGACGAAGGCTGAGACGACGGCGACGGCGGCGCCGGCGCATATCGTCGTCTCTAGAGTCTGGGGTTCATTGGGAGAATTTACAATCTATCATCCTCCTAAAGGTCAGGATGTTATCTATTCCCTACTAAAAAAATCATCCTCCTAAAATACACATAACTAATTGTCTAAATATCACTCTTCCAAATTTTCACTCTTATTTGTTATCTAGGGTCACATGTTAGTCTCTTTTCCCACTCAGGCAAGTGAGATATGGTTGCGCGATGAATGAGGCTAACGAGTGAACCCGGATGGTAAGGGCATCTACAATCAGCGCAACTCCTAGAGTGCCTTCACTAACTGAGGGTATTCTAGAGGCACTCACCTCTACAATGTAAGAGTCCAATGAGTGTCCCAACCCAAAAAAAACCCTCTCTCTCTCTCCTCTTCATCTCTTCCCTATTCTACCCCTCTCTTCCATCTCTCTCCCCACCGGTGCACGCGACCTTCCCTCTTTCTCGCTCTCTCCGGCGCACTCTCTCCCTCCCTCGCCCGCCACCGGCTATGCCCCGCTCCCTCCGCCCGTCGCCGGCTATGAGCGACGCACGGGAGCGCAGTGGTTGACTACGAGTGGCGGCGGCGGCGACCTCGGAGGCTGAAGATCCGGCACCGCCGTGGCCGAATCTCCCCCCCCCGGTGGATGGAGCGGCGCCGGCCGTGTCGTATCGACTAGGAGACGGTGGCGGCGCCGGCGGTGGCCGCATCGACGTGGCGCCGTCGCCTTCTTCGTCGCGCTCGCCGCCGCCGACGGTGATGGCATCGGCGCCTTCTTCACCGCACGCGCGACGCCACTGCCGGTCTGCCCTGCTCATCGTCAATAAGCGCTCTGCCTCGGCGGCCACGGCATCCAGGCCTCGACGGCGAGCGGCGCATGGGGCGGAGGCGGCAGTCGTCGTCGTCGTCGTCCTCCGATGGGTGGAGGCGGCCGACGGCGAGCAGCGCACGGGGCGGAGGCGGAAGCCTTCGTCGTTGTCCTCCGGTGGCCGGAGGCGCAGATCCGGGTGCGCCGCTTCTCTCTCCCTCTTCGCCCCACCTCCATCCTCTTTCCCCGTCCCTCCCAATCTCCGGCATCGCTGCCGTGCCTCCACCGCGGCAGCTGCCGCGCCTCCTGCTCCTCCGGCTTGACCTTGATGGGGACGGACGAGAGAGAGGGGAGAGGGGTGGAAGGAGAATATGGAGGTGGAGAACCCGTCGCTTAAGACGCTGCAGTGCGTGGCTCAAGTCCGTCCCCTGGCCGAAAAGGAGGAGACGCGTCGCCCAGGCAGAGGTCGCATGGCGTCGTGGGGAGCCGGCTCTGGCGGAAAGGCTAACGGCGAGCGGACGGAGGAGGGCGGGGCGACGGGCTAGGAATACGCATTGGTGATGGCCTAAATGAGAATGGAAATTTAATAGAGTGATATTTGAGCGTGTGTATTTTGCGATGATGATAATAAATAGTAGGAGCAGTAAATTCTCTCGGCACAGAACATGGACCGCGCGCGGCGTTAGCTGACCGCGAACCCGGCTCGATCACCTTGGCGGTGGCCATAGTATAGGTGGCTGCGACCGCGTGCCTGCTGTGACCTGTGACTGAGTGTACGTACGTGATCGAGGCGAGACAGCGGTTGATCGATGTCGTTGTTTCGGGAAAGATTTGTTGGGGATCTCTCTCACTGCAGTGCGCCTGGCCAGTCTGACTATACCTCTAGGCCTGGTGAGTAAATAGTGTGTTAATTTCCTCTCTTCCTCCCGGCAGTCGTCAGGCATGTGGATGCACGTAAACATCAACCACCATATTACTCCTATGCAGTAGTAGTAGGTAGCACAGCGGCATGCAGCTCACCTCTCTCTCACACATACATGGCGCACAACGTACGTAGCTGCGTCTAATTTCCGGTGATCCCTCTGCATGATGTTATATCTTGAACAACATGTGCCATTATATGCCTCCACGATCCTCACCCAATTACACAATCCTCTCACCTGACATAATAATTGAAGTAGTAGTAGTAGCGGTATTGCATCGATGAACCGAGAAACGCACCGCAATCAACGACGCCTCCTTCCTTTCGATCGATCGCTACAGGAACAAAAAAGCAACCTCCCTTTCCCCTCCTCATCTCTTATTTTTCTCTCCTGCAACCTCTCGCAGCCTTACCCAGTACACCACACGTAGTAGCAGGGGACCAAGCTAAAGCATACAGTATGCACACACAACACAACCACGCTACTCCTGCACCTGCCCTTTTTTTTCCCCTTCTTCAGAGCAGGAGAGAAGAAGAGACGCCTGATCGATCGAGACCATCAATGCGATGGACGACGCGCGAATCCCAGTTCAGATACATCCGATCTTCCCCAAAGCCCACGCCGATCCTGGCTTGGCCTCCTGCACCTGCAGCTCGCCGTCCTTGGATTGGTCTTTGCACTAATCTCCTCTTCTGATCGGTCTATTTTGTGATCACAATGACCTTGTTTGGATCCGGAGGGCTATTAAATAGCCCTCTGAAATCTTGCTATTTAGGAGTATTAAACATATATTACTGACAGAACCTATTCCATGATCCCTAGGCTATTTTGTGAGACGAATCTAACGAGGTATATTAATCCATGATTTGCTACAGTAATCAGTCGTTAATCATGGATTAATATACATCATTAGATTTGTCTCGCAAAATAGCCTAGGGGTTATAGAATCGGTTTTGTCGGTAATCTACGTTTAATACTCCTAAATAGCAAGATTCTGTAGGGCTACTTAATAGGATTCATACAATGCCAATGTATCCTTGGGCTTTCCAGATTCTGTGTACTTGTAGTAGTAGTGGTGCCTGGGTGCAATGTGTGGTCCTCCAGGGAGGTTGCAAACCTGCAACCGATCACTGATGGCGGCAGGGGAGTGGCTGGCAAATCTGTGGCAGTGGATCAGGCTGTGCTGGCTTGGCTGCATGCAAAGCAGTGCCACTGCCAGTGGCAGTGGCAGTTCTCACCAATGGCTTGGCACCCAGTGCTTTTAACCATCTCTGGTGCCTCTGTTGGTGGCTGCCTGCTCCTACTCCTACACATCTGCTTTTGCTAGTAGTAGCTGGGACAAATGCAGGCTTCAGTTGAGAGCTTTGAGCTATACCATCTCCCTTTTGGTGACCTTTTTTCAGTGAGATTGGAATACTTTTTAGTTTCTTGAAAAGTTGAAGTAGTGCTCCTGAAGGTTTGAATTATGGGATGTTGAATCTGTAGTGGTATATTGGAACCCTAAAAGGCATGTATGCACGAGGTGAACAAGAGAAGGGGAAGGGAGATTTGGTGTGGATGTAGGAGTAGGAGTAGTAGCATTGTGCAACCTGAATCTTCAGTATTGATCTGAAGAAGACGAGGCATATCTTGTGTGTCTCCCTGTTGTCTGCCCCACAGAGAAAAAAAGCAAGCAAGTCTTGGGAGAGTTGGAGGCATCTTTGTACTACCGAAGAAAAGAGGCCTATACTGCTGCAGTGCTGTGAGCCATGGCCCATGGCATCTCCCTCTCTGTCTCTGCCTCTCTCTCTCTCTCTCTCTCTCTCTCTCACACACACACACACACACATGCAAAGTAGGGCTACACTTCAATGTTTGTAGAGCCAATCATTCTCTGCAAGGTAGGATCCAAATGTGCAGACCATGAAGTACAGTGTGTGTATGGCTCCTTGTAGGAACAAAGCATCAAGCACCCACTGAAACAGATCCTCCCCTCTTCAATGAACTGTTGGTCTACTCTCTCTGACAGGCCACAAATTAATGCTATACTAGTAAATCTCTTCCATTTCTCATTTATTTTGTGAACAGGAAGAAAGAATCAGTTTTCAATTGCAAAAGAAAGAAAAGAGGAAAAAAATAGAGCTGAAATCTACTCCCTCTGTCCCAAAAAAAGACAAACCCTAAGTTTCCGTGCCAACGTTTGACTGTCCGTCATATATAAATTTTTTTTGTAATTAGTATTTTCATTACTGTTAAATTCATATTTTTTTTCAAATAAGACGGACGGTCAAACGTTAGACACGGAAACCAGAGTTTATCTTTTTTTTTTGGGACGGAGGGAGTATATGCCATCATATAATCTACAGGCAAGCTTCATACAATGATGCAATGCAATCCATCACATCAAAGTGAGATCGATGCATCTGTGATTCTGTGCCATTTCATGATGTCTCATCGAATCATCAAGAATTGATGTGAGTGAGCCTCCTCCTGCTCCTTTCTCGTGATCTACACATGATGCACCACAGTGTGCAGCGTCACCTGCTCGGTTCAGGTCAAAAGTCTCAAAAGTAGGAGCATCTAAAATCGCTTGAGCTAGCATCATCGCTTGAGCTAAGTTATTTGTTCTTTTATTTAAGTTCCTAACTCACCGCATATTTCACACACATGCTTTCCAAGCTAATAAACAATATGAGATGTGTTCGGTAGCCATTTCTGTGGCAACCCTACAGACGCGATGCATATTATGCGCAGCCGCAGCCCTGTCAGCTGAACAAGCCCATGTTTTTTTTTAAAAAAAGGTTATATACGAAAATTGCTTTAAAAATCATATTTTTTAAAAAAACAAAGTCTGATGATTTTTGTAGATAAAGGTTTAAGTGGTTTTAGCGTGAAATTTAGTGATTTAGAGGGCCGGCCAAGAGAGCTCAACAATCCAGAACATACCAATATCAACAACAAATAAAACGGACGGCTGTGATTGAGTTTGGTGGAGTGCTAGGCGACAGAAACGGCCAAGGTCATGGAGGGAAGACATCGGGTCCCACCTGACATGGGGTGGGCCCCACTTGTCAGTCCTGGGACGCTATAAAATGCAGTACACCCACAGGAGACAGCCTCCCTTCGAGTACACTAACCTCTCGGCTTCTTCCGCCATGGCGACCACGCCCTTCTTCCTATGGGCCACGAACGCCACCTCCTCCTCCTCCTCCTCGGCCGCCGCCGCCGCCGTCTCTGACCACGACGTCGGAGGTCTCCGCGCTGAGGAGGAGACAGCGGCGGCGGAGGCGACGCAGCTCTCGCCGGAGCTCGCGGCGGCCGTGGCGAGGCCGAGGCTGCGGCGGCAGGCTTCTTCCTCCTCACCGGCGAAGCAGCAGCAGCAGCAGGTGGGGGGAGGAGGGAGCAAGAGGGCGCCGCAGCGTGGCCTCGGCGTGGCGGAGCTCGAGCGCCTCCGCTGCGGCGGGGACCCGTTCCGCGACCTCAACGCCGCCGTGGCCGCCATGGGGGACGCCGCCGCCGCCATCCACCGCCACCACCACCACCTGCCTCTCCCCGCCCTCGACGCCGACGTCGCCGGCGGGGGCGGCCACTACGCGCCGCTGCTGGTCCGCCCGGCACTTCCTCCCCTTCCTCCGCCACCGGCGGCTGCTCCCTTCTGCCACCTCCACTCGTCCTCGTCGGCCGCCGCCGGCCACAACGTGGCGCCGCCGGAGCTGCAATTCTTGAGGGATCGGTGCATGGGTGGCTTCGCCGGCGCCGGCCAGCTGCTGCCGCTCGCGCCAGAGCACCCTTCAAGCCAAAGCAACACCATCTGGCGCCCGGCGTCTTCTTCTTCCTCCTCCTCCTGCCTCCCAGCCACCCACCGCTGCGACCTCTGCTCCAAGGTAAACCACGCTAACCTTCTCGAACCTTCCAGAATCAGTTCTTGCAAATCGCACCGCACCACACTATCACAAATCTAATCTCCTCTTCCTCCTCGCATTTCTGCTCGACGACAGACAATGGTGATGGCCTTGGCGGAGAGAGGAGGAGCACGAGGCGCCGCCACCACCACCACCAACACGCCGGACTACTCCATCTACGATCTCGCCGCCGCCATGGCCACCGCTCGCAAGGTACACACACAGGCTGGTGTCCATTTTTACAAAGCACGTGTCACGTACAAGCTCACCAAATTTTCTTGTTCTTCGCGATGGACGCAGGAGAAGGGGCATGGGGTGTTCTTGGGTAGGGAGAGGAAGAACGACGAGGCGGCGGCGGCGGCGGAGAAGGAGGTGAGGGAGATCGAGTTCTTCCCGACGAGCACCACCCACGCCGACGAGTCGGAGTTCGCCGCGGCGCCGTTCTCCTCGTCGGCCGGTGGTGGCTGCGGCGCCGTGCCATTGGACTTGTCCCTGAGGCTGTAGCCATCAATGGCGTGCGCGTGCGTACGTAGGGTTTTAGATTCTTCTCCTAGTTCGATCAATCAGGTTATAAATGCTTAATTTTCGCAGCCAGAGATGGATGAAATTAAACACTATGATGCCTCTCGATCCATGCTTAAATCAGGTTCGGTTGATTAATTAATTTCCGTTTCTGTCAAGAGTTGTTTGTCACTAGATGCATGGTATAAGTAATTTTGGGCAAGCTTGTTTGAAGGCTCGAGTTTGTCAGACAATATATATGTCAAGTTGTTTGCTGTGCCAAATATTGTTTTTACTACTTAAAAGTCATTTTTTAGCACTATATCAACGTATAATAACTTCTGTGTTGAGAGTAAAATACCGGATTTGCTAAAATGATGTCGCCATATTTTATGGCTGATTACAGTCGAATTTCTAACCGTCAGATGTTGTTCAGTCCACTCAGGTCCTTAGCATCTCTCGGTTGTCATTACACGATTAATTAAAACTTAACATGCTTCATTAGTTTAAGCTTTTGATGGTTCTACTCATATGTATCTGTATAGTATATAAATATATGTAATGTCTACAATGCAAAATATAGACGTTGTCTTGCACTTACATTGTAATTACATTAAACTTACATATGTAATTTTGAAACTTACATTGTAAATACACTAAAATTACATATGTAATTTAGACACTTACATTGTAAATACATGGTGACTATTTTTTGGTGAAAAATATGGCGCCATAAATATAGCTACTCCCGTAAAATACTTGTTATCTATTGTATTGTACTGAAGCATGGCGGAAAGAATCGCTCGAGCTATTCAAGAGTTATAATTTGTAGGGTTAAAGATGTACTCTATTGGGCAATAAATATTTGACGTTTAGGATTTTATTTGGTCATACTTTTAAAACTTTAAAATTTTGATCGCGTCTCATTCGAAATGTTAAATATTGTTTGGCCGAATGGAGTATACATCTTGTTACTAAATGTTAAATATTGTTTGGCCGAATGGAGTATACATTTTGTACTTTCAAGAACAAAGAGGTGCTCTCGCTGTTTTGCCAAGTATTGACCAAGGTTTACAAATTACAATCTTGATTGGCTTGTGAAATTCTAGGCCTAGCGTAGCGAGATGTTGAATTTTCGGTGATCTCAAACAAAATTAGACACATTTTGATTGATTTTCTTGACGAATTTCAAACGAGGCCAATGGACATTAAAGCCAGATCAAGACCGAAATTTGTCCAGATTGTGAATCCTAGTACTGAGACAAGAAAAAAAAAGTAAAACCTTATTTTTCGGCTTGGGTTTATCACTAGCTAGGTTCATGTTTTCCTTTCCGTTCAAGTTTTGGTCTTCTGTTTTTGGTTTGAGCTACTAGTAATCAGAAGTGAAGCACCCTCCTTAAAAAAAGAAAAAGTTTATATTACTTTCCTCAACTATGACATTTATCCAAACTAAAAAAAAACACCACTTAAGTTTCATAATGAATAATATTATTCATCCCTGCTTGATTTTAAACTGTACACTTCACTCCCTCTGTCCAACTCAAGGGTTTTCGCCTAAGTAACACTTAGTCCTACATGGTGATCCAATGAGAGGGAAAAAAAAGAGTTGAAGGACCCAGATGTCAGTCCTTCCGAGAGCCATCAGATTGTTGTCATTGCTCGCTGGTGATTCCACAATCGATCGCAAGTAGGTGGAACACGGCGGCCGCTGTCATCTTCATCCATGGGAGGATGGGAAGACTTGCAACCTTTTAGGTTATGTTCGAATCTGAACTTTCCCAACTTCACTTTTCTCTTTTTCGTACGCGCGTGTTTTGCAAAAAGAAATTCATAAGAAAACTGCTTTACAAAATTCATATTAAACCATTTTGAAAGAAAAGCTAATACTTAATTAATCCAGCGTTAATGAGTCATTCCATTGTATGTGCACAAGAAATTAGTCATCCAATATGGCTGGAGTGATCAAATGTTGATGAATCTAATTGAAGACAACCGTTCTACGAAGATTAGCAACCTTGCTTCTTTTTCCTTGAAAAAGTTTGTTACTCATAACGTAACCTGCTTGAAAAAATGATATCTCGCGGTGCATTTCTCTTGAAAAAGATGATTTCCTTGGAATGATCGAAAAATGTTTGCTTCTAAAGTACTAACCTGCGTCTGCACTACTTGGCCAACCGTATCCGCTCTCCCCCTCTTTCATCGTAGGCTAGTGGGCCAACCATATTAGTGTTATTTTGTCGAGGGAGATAGTTTTTACTTCTTTTTCTTCTCTCCTCACTACTCCTTAATAATTAATCTTATATGACAATCATAAATTGATGTTTCGTCATTTTTAACTATCTTGAACTTTTGTTGGAGCTTTTTTTTTTGGCTTTGCCCTTATATTTATTTTCATCCCCTAGGTTTATAAATGTGACCAGTCAACATACAGCTCTATGTTCCATAGCAGTTTCATGACAAACTGATCAGTTTTTGCAAAATCAAGACAATTTTGTCAAAAATTTGAAATTTGATTTTTTTTTGAAAAATGAAATAACTTGATCGGTTTATCTCGTGGTTTCAGAATACGAAACCGCTTGGTAATCTTGTTAACCATGACATCTGAGGGTGTGTTTGGATAATAGGAAATTGGGGGGGGGGGGGTGAGATTAGGATTAGGAAATGAACGAAGAGTTGGGATTAAATGAAAGAGAGAGAATGAGTGGTTAGGATCTAAAGATAGGTGGAAAATCATTTCCCTTTCCCAACACTGCCTGAGCAGTAATCGTTGCCTTTAACAGGCTAGCTGCAGCATCAGATCGGTTTATTTCGGAACAGAGGAAGAGAGAGTATCCGATATTCCGATGCTCGCCAGGGCTACCCTTCTCAAAGCTCCTTTCTCTGCTGCCCTTCCAATGTCTCTCCGTCGACTTGGTGCGCACTTACGTCTGCTTAGGACTTGATGCCTCATTATCTCTTGCCACAAGCATGACCAAAACATGAAACATCCACCCAAGCGGTCTCAATGATCAGAACAGGACCAGCAAAATACAGCAGGGCCACATTGGCCAAGAATGCCATTGGACACAACAGGGGGGATCATGTCCCATGGAGCCAACATGAAACGCCCATACAACAGCTACAATTCTTTCAGAAATAGATTATTCTCCTCCGGACAACATAATAAATATCTCTCAGGAAGCAAATGGCAGCAAAGGGCAACGATCTACAAGTCTGATACATGCTCGAAATGCATCGCGGAGCAGAACATAGAAGCGACCACACAGTTACACAGGGATCGGCATTAGCAAGTCGCACGCTCTCCTTGTGATCTGGATGCGTCTCTTTTCACCTCAATTTTCTGTAACAAAGAAGAAAATTCAGGTCATGGGAGGGACAACTTTGATACACTACAATAGAGAATGAGGGAGAGCAAGACCTCAATGATACAGACCAGTTAGCATTTTAATGTGCCGAACAAACTAAAAATGCAAGCCCCAGTATGGTATTATGCAGAACATGACAGCAAAGAAAGTTATGTTCAGCTCAAAGATTTTAGCCCCAAAGAAGACGAACACTCTAGGTGTGTATGGCCCCAAAGAATACAGTATAGGTCTCATCAATGCTTACTGAAAAAGCAACCAAAACCTATTTGGCCTATCAAGCATCAAAACTAATCTTCTGAAAGACAGCAGCTGAGGGAGTCAAATAAGACTGCAAGTCATATGATACTGTAATTTTTTTTTGTTTGGTTTCCAAAATGGTGGCGTTAAAGCCTTGGAAATTCACAAATCACAACCAACATGACAGAAAAAAAAAAGAAACTGAATCACGTCCTAAAAAGCTAGCTGTGCGATGTAGTGTATTTTTTTCTCAATACAAGGGTACAGGCCTTTTGCATATGTACCAAATATAAATCTAAGCCAAGACTTGCAGTCATATTTATCTCAACAGTTGCAACTTGCAAGACCGCACATAAAAAGTATTTCCAAATGCTCCTTTTTTTAACACAATACAGCGATTGCTGATTTAGGCTGACAGACCAGTCTGAAGAATTTTCTATACATACCTGCATGGCTTTTCAGTATGTGTGTTAGGTATATTGTACTTAGCCATGATTAGACTTACCTTATAAAAGGATAAAACAACATGTTAGGATCTTAAATTTTATAAGTAAAATAAGCCAGCTAATTAATCCAAAACATTTTAAATAAAGGTAACTGAAGCAAGACCTGATTCCTACTCTTATACATGCTCTCCAAAAAAAAAAATCATTTCCTGGCATGGTCTTCTAAGGGATAAAACTGAACAGGAACAATGGGTACTAGTAATGTGCCTTTCTTCGATACACCTGTAGGACTTATAATTTTTATGATTGCACAATGCCGAGCAAGCAAAACTTTCTTGATCTACATAATTTTGTTCCTAATTTAGTTATTACTTGCAGTGATCATCTACTCTCACTATACTCATAAACAAAACACTTGTGCCCTTGAAAGTTAAGGTGTCAAATTCCTTAATGAAATAATTAAATGTTCTGTCCTATAACGCAAGTGGACCTTCTCATCCACTCTGCTCATATAGAATTGTTATGCGTGTAATGAACATAGCATTACCTCCAAACAGACTCAATACAGAATGGCACAACTATGTCCAACATAGCTTTGCATACTGTTGTTAATACAACTGTTAGCTCACGGTTCTAGGGGCACCTTCTTTCGTGCTCTGGCATTTCTATTGGGTTATGTTTTACCCCAATACACACATTAATTATGCATTTGTAGGATAGCTATCAGTCCAAATGAGAAAAACAGGGAGGACAGCTGTCTAGCAAGTGTCACATACTTAGGTTGCTAATAACACTAGAAAGGTAAGTATTCGGTATTCCCAACTGAATCTATCACATCATTTAGAGAGAGAAAAAAAAGGAGAAAATCTATGCCGTTAATCATGTTGGATTGCAATGTGGTAGAATGGCTGTAAACGTTACTGTTTTACAGATGTACTCCTATACAAAATACAATTGCCTTTATATAATAGAAGGAAGAATTGCATATCAAAAACAATTCTACTTTCAAATGGATAATCTAGTTCCACACAAGCTGCGCGGGAAATTCAGTTAGTCATGCAATGCAGCAGTTTGCTAGTAGCAATTCTTGTCCTCATATGTGTACCCTTGCCATCAATACCCAACCAATTGCAACCCATTCCCTTACCAACATCATGGCAAATCACTCAAATCAATGAATGCAAACAGTAAGAACAAGATCAAGCAAGAACATAGCCAGACCTTTCTGACCCTCGGGAGCTTCATGGTAGACGGGTTCATCCTCAGGCACCGTGCGGAGCTCATCCCCCACGGCCTCCCCACCGCCAGCCGCCGCACCATCATCAGGGTAGCGCACGACCACGACGGGGCAGACGCAGTGGTGCACGCAGTAGTCGCTGACGCTCCCGAGCCTCCCTTTGCCCGCCCTGCGCGAGGCGCCGAAGCCGCGGCTGCCCATGATCATGGCGGACAGGCCGAGGCGCTCGGCCTCGAGGCAGAGGCGCTCCTTCATGTCGTGGTCCTTGACTATGTGGATCTTGAAGGGGATCTGCGCGGCGACGAGCGGCTGCGCCAGGTCCTGCGCCTTGGTGGAGGTGAAGGCGTCGAAGTCCTCCTCCCGCTTCTTCTTGGCCTCCTCGGGCTCGTCGCGCGTGGCGGCGTGGGCGTTGGCGTGCTGGGCGGCGTCGGGGGCGGAGTCGTCGTCGTCGACGGAGACGGGGATGGAGCCCCAGTCGGCGCCGTAGAGCACGGAGGTGGGGCGGACGTGGAGGAGCACGACGGCGTCGCCCGGGCGGAGGTAGTTCTGCACGGACCACTTGACGGCGAAGGCGGACTCGTCGGAGAGGTCGACGGCGATGGCGATGCGGCGGTGCGGGGAGGAGGCGGACGCGGACGCCGCCGCCAGCGAGGAGAAGAAGAACCGCGGCGAGTTGGGCTGGATCGCCGCCGCCGCACCCCCCGCCAGGCGCACCGGCGGCGGCGTGGAGGGCGGCGTGGCCTTCTCGCCGCCGGCGACCGGGGAGGCCGGGTGGGTCGCCATCGCGGATTCGATTCGGGGGTGGATTGGATTCGCTCGATCTGGGCAAAGGGGGAGAAGGCGAGGGTTTTTGGCTTTGAATGCTGCGGTTTGCAGTGGAAGGCTGGGACACGGGAGTGCGTTTTCTCTCTTCTCCTTGACTACAGTGGTAGTAGTAGACTAGTGGTGGTGGTGGTGGCGCTGGGAGCCTGGGACACGTATTGCTCTGCGCTTTTTGTCACTTTACGCTTTCTTGGCTTGATTTGCGTAATCCGTCGTTGGTCCCAGCCATTCCCCTGCTCCCCCCATTTTACATTTGGGAATCCGGGGTTTATTTCAATTTTCAGCAGAGTTAAAACTGTTTTCGGTTTTTCACGTTCCAAACAAGACTCAAGTTACATTGGACTCAACCTACGTCGCTCCAATATTGGTGGACTGCAATAGCAACACACCAAGGGACACCGGACACCGAGAAAAGAAATTCGCACCTTCTTGTTGCTAGTGACATGGGAGGTCTGAAAAGAGAGAAATCAAAGAATTTTCCAACACACTGAACTCTCAACACTATCGCTCTGCGTAAAGATAAAGGAGGAGGCCAAGACCTATACCCTAGCCGGCGCAAAAAGGCTAACTAAGATAATCCCTTTTTTTTTTCTCCTTTCCCTATGTAAATTTCCAAAGTTTTAGCTTTGTACGGTTTTTTCTTCCACTATATTCAATGAAATGGACACAGTCTATGCCGATTCGTTAAAAAAAAAGACTCAAGTACCCATGTGTGCAATTGAACTGTTTTCTGTGAAGTTTTCACGCTTCAGACAAAACTCCATTTTGCACAGCAAGCAACAGCTTTTGGTTATATCAAAATAGATTACATTATGTGTTTCTGAATAGAACGTATCATCATGCTGCAAATTCCATTATACTACTACCATCTAGCAATTCTTTCGTATCACTGCCAAAAAAAAAAAAATGCAGCAAATAGTTCATGCCACAACTATGGCTACTATTTTCATTCATGCTAACAATTTCATGAATGAAAAAAAAAGAATCAAAACAAGATAAAAAGTTCTCGAACTCACAAATGAAACGAAAATTTTGTGGTGATGCAGCAAAATTGAGAAAAATTCATAGGTCATCCGCGCTTCGAATCCGAAAAATCTGACCGGAGATCTCTGTACCAGGCAGCCTCCTCTCTCCCTCTGAAGAACGATCAGCTCCACGAATGGTGGGAGCCATAGGAGGCGCATTATTCCGGCTCTGCCTCGACGTCCTCACCGAGCCATGAGCTGCAGCTGCTGCTCCTGCCCTGACATGGTGGTGACACCCTGACGATTTCAGCGCAACGGAGGCGCACGCCGACCTCCGGGGAAGCCTCAGCTCCAGCCTCTTGCTCCGGCCACCGCCACCGCCACCACCGCCACCAAGGTCGACGGCCCGGCCATGGCGGCCGCCGCCGCCCTGGGGCTTGGAGCACCGGCGTGACCGCACTGCCTGCTTGTTGTAGTACACGAGGTGCGGCAGGAGGCGCAGCACGTGCCTCTTGAGCTGCTCGTCGCCGACGTTCCTCTGCGCCGGGTTGCCCTCCAGGGTGATCGACTGCAGGGTGCCGCAGTTGGCGAGCTGGTCGAGGCATTTCGAGGATGAGAGGCTGTTGCCGTGCAGGTCGAGCACCTTCAGCTTGAGGCGGTGCAGGCCTTCCACCTCGCTGATCTTGTTGCCGCCGATGTACAGCTCCTTCAGGAAAGGACAGGAGGCCAAGCCTGCAGAGTATATGAGAAATGAAACAGAAACCAATAACCTAGTTAGTATACTCCCACAGTCCTAAAATAAACCAACTTAATATTAAGATGTGATATATCCTAATACTATAAATCTGGACATACTCTATGTCATTCGTTGTATTAGGATATGTCGTATCCTAATACGAGGTTGGTTTATTTTTAAGACAGAGGGGAGAATATATCAAATGAGGCTGTTGCTCTAGATTGTTACAGCCTAGTATAATCAGCAGAAGTAAACATTGTGCCATAAGACTAGTACATATGCTCTTGTAAAAACGAAAATAATAGTACATGTAAAAAGGCTTGAAACTGAAAACATGTATGAGAAGATTACCATGGCCAATTTTAGTTATTCTGTTGTAACTCAAGTCCAGGACACGAAGTAGTGTCAACTCTTTTAGGCCTTCAATGGTTGATATGTTATTTCTTGACAGATTTAACATGCGGAGTCCTTTCGGAAGTGCTCCTGAAGTTATCCTTACTGAAAGAAGAACAAGTAATTCTGGTTTAGAAAGGTTAAAAATTCAATGAGGGATCAAATAGAAAAACCAATGGGTAGGAGGAACTTGACATAAAAATCAAAGCACACTACTAGAGAGAAACATACTTATTGAGTTCCCTGCCAAGTTCAGCAGCCGCAAATCACTGAATGCACTGAGAATTGGTATTGCAACCAAGCCAAGATTAGACAATTGTGCTATGGAAGATGATGGTTTCAGCATTGCGATGTAGTTGTAAGCAGTTTCCATGCCAAGAGGAGATTTAGCATTGAGCTTTCTGATAGTATCGACTTGTTTGGAATTCATTAAATGCGCAGAACTTGAACATTCCCCCTGTTCATATGGAGCTATGTCATTTGAATCAGGAATTTGGCTGATCCAGTTCTCAATTCTCCTAACATTGAATTCTTTTCGCGACGACGTGCAACAATTCTGGTAACAAGGTTCAGGTTCACAATTCTTCACTGATGTGGCAACTTCTCTTTTATCAATTTGTTGAAATATCTCTTCAGTATTGCCTGCATCATGTGATAGACTAGGAGGATCATCAAACGAGTTACTGTTTCTAACCGGTGTCACTGCTGCAGTTGATGTAAAATCTGAATGATGGCAGTCATTTCCTGATTCCACACAACACTGTGAAATTTCATCAGTTGAACTATTGTTGATATGTTCATCTCTACAATGACACTGGGATTGTGCATTGGATTGAACAAAGTCTTCTGAGGCATCTTTGCAGTGACTTGGTGAAACTCTAGCTTCTTCAGTGTAGGGTGCTCCATCCAGTGAACTTAAGTTCCCAAATGATCTAGAACGTAACCCAAGTTGTGCAGAATCAATACTATCTTCAATGACGGTGGGAATGTGCACATCAAGGTTCACAGACTGTGATCTGCTCAACAAAGGCTGAGGCTCAGGCAAAAATGACTGCTCTTCAGAGTTGACAAGACAATAAGTTGACACAATATCCTCACAATCACATTGCTTTTCGATGAGATGTTCAGAATTGCCAAGGGAGGACTGACACTCATGTTGATGTGGGTCAGTAAAATCACCACAACAACTGGTACGGTTTTCCTTCTTTTTGCGGGTGCATTCTCCCGTACAGGTTTTCTCGTCATGGGAACCATCAATTGCACAATCTTCCCCTTTATTGTTGGTCTTATCAAAATCATAAAGCTTCTCCATTTCAAGCATGTCTCCAAGAGATTGACTTTTCTTAATCTTCCCTGACTCATTCTCAGTGCAAAAACTGAAATCTTCTGATCTGCAGCAATCCTCGAAAGGAGGGCTTCTGAGCTGCTCAACGTTAGAATTACTACAATTTTTTCCATCTACCTTCTGAGTTAAATTTGGATATGCCCATCTGTCTTCAACTGAAGAAGCAACCAACTTCTGAGAGGAAAAAATAGTCAAAATTTGGATATGCAGCAAAATGTAAGTGCTGGTGGCAGCATAAGATGCAGAATAACACAAACAGTAGTGGACGAATTTGTGTACCTTTGATCGGTGATGGCGGGACGAATAAGAGAAGCAAGAGAACCGAACCATTTTCAACTTCAGTGAGCAATTGCAAGATACTGGTTAGTGTATCTGTATGTTTCGTTCTGATCTACCAGAGTTAACCATAATCAAAGGAAAACCCCAGCAGACAGTATGACCAGCAAATGCAATATGGGTTTCCTCCAGAAGAAAATTGAACAGCCAGCCTAGAGGTGCACACCAGCAGCTTTTGTGTAACAGCCAGAGTGGAAGAAAAAAAAATTATCTGTCAGACCTGACAGATCCAACACAACAGTGCTATATAACCAGCGCTGCAAAAGATTTAAAACAACAATGTCACAGCTGTCTAGAGAAGTACATATCAATACAGTGATATATGCTGAATTAGTCATGCGGTTGATTTGACACATAATCCAGGCAGAAACATGAAAATGAACAGAGTACAGTGTCCTGTGATAGCCCTTGCAAAAGAACAGCGATAGCAGAGTGCAGATACTTTGTGAAATTTCATTGTAAAGAGAAAAGAAAATTCACAATCGGACTGCTGTTCAACGATTCAAACGAAAATGTCCTGGGTTTTGTTATGCGGTAGAAACTGGAAACAACGAACTCGATCGATGGAGTATAATATCACACGTATCCTGAACCAATTCGATCGGCATCATGAACAGGAAAGACTAACGCAACCAAGGGCACCCAAATTCCAACCTGACACCGCGGGATTTATCGCAACCAACAAAGAGATCGCAAAAACCTTCCACTGACACCGCGGGGATTTATCACAGCCAACAGAAAGAGATCGCGAAACCTCCCACCGCAAACGGAGAAACATAACTGCATCTTCACACATGATATCACGCAAAACGGTTATCATCATCAAATCAACGACCAAATTCGCCAAGATGAACAGAGAAACCGACAGGGTTATTAAGCGGGGGTAACACAGACCACGTGTCGTCATCGCAATATGCAACCACGCAAATCTTCTCTGGCAAGAACCAAGAACGAACCACCAGCGTACACAAAACCAAAATCCCATCTGACCCCCGCAAAATTCTTCCACCCAAAACAAGAACAAGGGCAAACGGTGCGGCGGAGTAATCGACCGAGAGAGGGAGGGGAGGGGAGGGGGGGAGGCGGCGAGCTCGAACCTGCCCTCCCGCTCCAGATTGGGATCACCGGCCGGGGATTCTCCCGCTTCTCCGCGAAGAACTACTTTTGCTGCGGGGAAGAAGGGAGAGAGCGGCGCAGCGGCGGGGGACGCCTTTTTTTAGGGGAGGTTTGAAGCGAGACAAAATTTTCTAGGGCTCTAAATTTTGTGGCTTATGTATTCGAGGCGAATAGCAACGCGTTTGCAACTTGCAATGATTTAGAATACTACTATTCATATTACGTTTTGATTCTTTTGGAGCCTATTACCGGCTCCAATTTATCTATAGCCGATCTAATAGCCAATTCATACAATAGTTGTTTACTATACTATTAACATATGGTCCCACTTGTCATATACACATTGCGTCTCGAAGTTCGTGCTACAGCTAGCTACAGATCTGTAGCCCGTTACTTTTCTCTCTCATCTTTTATCTCATTAAAATATATTTATAGCTGGGCTATTAAATATATTTATAGCTGGCTAATAGCCCGTTATTGTACCTGCTCTTAGTCAAACTCTTTTAAGTTTAATTAAGTTTATAGAAAATTATAATAATATTTTTTCCAACACAAAACAGACATATTATCAAAATATATTCAATGTTACATTTGGTGAAACTAATTTGGTGTTATAAATGTTACTAAATTGTTTTATAAACTTGATCAGACCTAAAGAGATTTGATTAGCGAAAAAGTCAAAACGACTTATAATATAAAATAGGTACAATATTATAAGTTCTCATATATAGTAATTCTAAATTTGGAATATATTAGTATAACTCTTGATTGAATATTAATACTTGAATAACTTCGTTACATGGTTCGTCGAGAAAATATTTTTGGCACATATGCTCTCGTCATGACTAATTATTATTTTAGTGGTGAATAACTAAGATGTCGACAGATGAGGTGTACGAGGTAATCAATGTTAAAATATACCAATCCAATCTTTTAAAGGTGTCTATGATAATATATGTACGCTCGTAGAGATAAATGTGCATGCGTGTATATAAATGTACTATGATTCGCAAAGAAAAATACATATATAACTGTTGATGTTTGATGTCGCGATTCCGGTATTTGCATAGTATGGGGATCGTTAGTAGCAGGATATATGCGAGACTTGGGTAAAAGAGACGGGGACGAGGATTTTTATATAGGTTCGGGCCTCTTATCTTACAGGTAATAGCCCTATATCCTGTTGGCCGAAGCCGGTGTTGCTCTTTATTCACCATAATCACACCAGTACAATATGTGGGGTAGCCTATCTAACTGTTGCCGACTTGGCGGTTTGAAGTGCTGACTCGTAGTCGACAACAGGCTAGCCTTCCTCCTCGAATCCGCATCCGGCGAGATCAAAGACAGTGCTATGTCTCTCCTGACAGTATCCGTAGACACCGTAGGGGACTAGCCATGCTTATATCTCTGAAATCGATATCCGGCGTCTTGTCTTGGTGTATGTTGGCTTGTATGTTGATCTATTATTCCGTGTCCCCTCTCCTCCTAGGGGGCCTTGTATTTATACCCATAGGTGTTCCCTTGTCCAAGTAGAACTAGGGAAACCAATATGGGTACGATCCGAGTAGTCCTTATCGTTTCCATGTAGAACTCTATCCATCCTTCCTTATGCGGAACTCTTCCTATATCCGAAAGTTGTTTCCGTATAAAATATGGTATGTGGTGGGTCCTGCCGAGATTTAATCAACTACTTATTAGGTATGTGGTATCCATAACCCTGACAATAACTACATAAGGATGTCGCCGTTATAGTATGCCCTCCTTTTTCCAATGCTACATTCATTTTTCATAATAACAATATAGATATGCCTAGTGTTAATTTTTCTCTTTTTAAAACTATTAACATGCCTGCACGTTGTAATAGGTTGTCCATATAATTACGGATGGGTTGGGAGATGATTAAGGATAAATGACTGAATCCGGTGGTTACGACACGCTGCACGTGGTAGAAAAGATAATAAAATGGGAATGACTCTAGCTATTTTTACAATAGTAAAGATAAACTGATTGTATATGGTTATTTCATGTGCGGTACTTTTATTTTTTTAGATAATAGAATGAAATAGCATCCCGATCTTTACTCAAAAGAGCTACAGCCAATTATTACAAACTAGCACTCTGTAAGAGTGAAGTCCAAATAGAAGCAAACACACCAACCAAACTAGACAAAATAACATTATTCCAGTCTATTGGTAAATCTCCATCCATGATTGGCAAACAATTGCATAACCGTCGTTTCAAGCTTACGACATGCAACAATTAAGAAATCTGCATCTTCATCACACTTTTATAATTGTGCCCACAAACGAAGCCAATATGTTGCCTTGAAAATGACCTGTATATAAGTAACAGTAGGTGATTTGTCAAAAACCCTATCATTCCTACTCAGCCACAGAGCACAACACAAGGCAGAAGCTCTAACAAGTATCAGTTTGCTCTTTTTGTTTACGACTCCCTGAAGCCAATCATCAAAAATATGAGATATGCTAGTAGGAATATATAAACCAAAAGAAAACTGAACTGCTCTCCAAATAAACTTTACAAAATGACAATCAATGAACAAATGTTGCATAGACTCATTTTTCGTACAAAAGCAACATCTTAAATTACCATTCCAATTCCGTCTAGCTAAATTATCCTTGGTTAACACAACTCCCTTAAGCAAATACCACATAAAGATCTTGATCTTAAGCGACATCTTGAGTTTCCAAATTAACTTAATTTCTGTCAATGTAACCATTATTAATTAAAGCTAAGTACATTGATCTAACTGAGATTTGGCCATTCTGATGATAGTTCCATCTAAAACAATCAGAAGTATTATTCAATTGAATATGAACAATAGATGCACACAATTCATGCCAAAGTGTTAAATTCTGACCAACTAAAGCTCTCGTAAAAGAAACATTGAGCGGAACAGAAGCTATCACACTAGCAATAGAAGAACTTCTCCTTCTGACAATAGCATATAAAGATGGATGCTTTTCTCTAAAGGCCATATTTCCTAGCCATCTATCTTCCCAAAATCTTATTTGTTCCCCATTATTCACAATCCAAGAACCCATAGTTAAGAAAGTGTTTTTGACTTTCATGAGTCCTGACCAAAAATGGGAGTCACCTTGTTTCCTATCAACTTGGGTTATAGACTTATTATAAAGATACTTTCTCTTCAATAGGTTTTGCCAAACACCATTTTCATTTATTAATTTGAAGAACCATTTACTCAAAAGACATCTATTTTGAATCTCTAAATTATGAACCCCCAAACCCCCTGTTCTTTGGGTTGGCAAATAATATCCTATCTAGTAAGTCTATACTTTTTCTTATGGTCATCTTCTTGCCAAAAGAAACGAGATCTATAATAATCAATCTTTTGAAGAACCCCTTTTGGAATCTCAAATAAAGATATCATAAACATAGCTAAACTTGAAAGGACAGAATTAATCAAAACCAGTCTACCCCCAACAGACATATGTTTTCCTTTCCAGCTGCTAAGTTTTTTCTCTATTCTTTGTTCGATAACTTTCCAATCATTATTACAAAGCTTTCTAAAATGCATTGGAATACCGAGATATTTAACTGGAAAAGACCCTAACTTACAACCAAAGATATTAGAATATTGCTCATAACACTCCTTTGCCTGACCAAAGCAAAATAACTCACTTTTGTGAAAATTAATTTTCAAGCTAGATAATTTCTCAAAGATAAAAATTCTTTGCTTGTTGTAAATCATGCTCCAGAAAAATGATGGTATCATCTGTATATTGCAAAATAGACAAACCATCATCCACTAGGTGAGGAACCACCCCATGAAGAGATCCATTATCTTTAGCTCTTTTAATTAGTAAAGCTAGCATATCAGCAACTAAATTAAAGAGAATTGGAGATAGAGGATCCCCTTGTCTAAGACCTTTATGCGTTTGAAAATTATTACCAGTTTGATCATTAACTTTAATACCAACATGACCACCTTGAATAAAAGAGGCAATCCACTCACACCATTTTTGTTTTTACGATGTAACTCATGCAAAGTTTCATGCAAAATAACCACACCTTCCATAATATTTCTCCCAGGAATGAAAGCAGTTTGAGTAGGACTAATTACCTTTTGGGCAACAGTCATGACTCTATTTGTAGCAACTTTGGTAAAGATCTTAAAACTAACATTAAGTAAGCAAATAGGCCTATATTGCTAGATTTTCATGGCCTCAACACACTTAGGTAAAAGAATGATCGTACCAAAATTAAGAGAGTATAAAGGCAAAGTACCATTATGAAATTCTTTAAAAAGATCTAATAAGTCACATTTTATGACATTCCAGAAAACTTGATAAAATTCAGCAGGAAATCCATCAGGACCCAGTGCTTTGTTATGTTCCATTTGGAAGATCGCCTCCTTAATCTCTTTTTCAGTAAAAACCTACGTTAAAGCCTCATTCTCCAACTGAGAAACTTGAGGAATGTCAGCAAATTTATTCTCATCAAACTGAAGAGTAGAATCATCAGGAGGCCCAAATAAACCTTTATAATAAGTGGTAATATGCAATTTCAAATTCGCATCACCATTTATTAATTGGTCACCATCATGTAATTGAAAAATTCTAGTCTTCCTATGTTTTCCATTTGCAACCAAATGAAAATATTTTGTGTTAGAATCACCCTCTAAAATATCCTTAGATTTCGCCCTCTGATACCATTTAACTTCCTCTTCTCTCAGAATTGTAGATAATCTATTTCTACAAAACCATCTAAAATCCAATTCCTCCTGACTCAAAAGCATAGTTTCTGCCTTTTTATCTAGCAAATCCAACTTATCTAAAATCTCCCTTTTTTTTCTTTTTTGTACAAGCCACTAGTATGTTTAGACCAACCCCTAAGATGTTGTCTTAAACGACGAATTTTTGCCTGCCACTGCTCCATGGCAGAATTGCCTTCATCAACACTAGACCATATCTCCTTTACCATATCAACAAAGCCATCACATAAAAGCCAACCAAGTTCAAACTTGAAACTATGTTGAGCATTACTCAAAGAAGAAGTGTTTGTATTTAAAAGTAAAGGAGTATGATCAGAAATATCTCTATTAAGAGCCACCACAGAAGATAAAGGAAATTTATGTTCCCACTCCGTGGACATTAAAACCCTATCAAGTTTCTCATATGTTGGATTCACTAAATTGTTTGCCCAAGTAAATTTCCAACCAGACATCTGTAACTCCTGGAGACATAACCCATCAATAATAGCATTAAAAAGGAAGGACCATCTATCATCATAATTATCATTATTCTTTTCATCAGGGCTACGTAGAATATTAAAATCACCACCAATAAGAATTGGTAAGGTTTCATGACTGCACATATGTTGACGAAAAAATCGAACACACCGGCCTGGGAGATCTGCTTAGCTCCTGTGCAGGTCCAAAGATTGATGAGATGCGGGCGTGCCAGTTAGTTTGATCCTGCAACTGACAAGATATGCAAATAGTAGATCAAAACAGCCGATCGGCTGACAAGCCGATGGAGTAGTTCCAGCCGATAGCCGATAACAGCCGATGCCGATACCAGCCGATAGCAATAGGGTTTAAGCAATCGACTATATATCCAATATAGATAATGATATAAAGGCAATCGGCTGATGACCATGTAATGAAATAACAATATAATCCAGTATAAACCAATTAGCAAATAATGATATGATAAATAAGCATCGATCCGAAGGTCAAAACACACATCGGCTGGAGGTCCGATGTCATGAAATCCACAAGATTAGATTAAACTGTGAAGCCTTTGTTGTCATCGGTTAAATCCAATTTATATGTATATGCAATCCTTATGAGCCGATGCAACGTCCAGATAACTCACCGGCTGAAACCCCGATGATACCCTTATTAGCAATCAAGGAGCAGGCTAGAGATTATGGTTCTAAGCACGACTTAGTAGATCAAACTTAACTGATGCAGCACTAAGTATGAAAAGAAATATAATATCTAGACAATCAAGCCGTTGACTAAGTTTTCAGGGTGGTAGATATCTAATCTTGCAACGCGATTTAGCTGATACCGGCAAAAACCCTAATACGAGAAGCAGCCGATAGAGCTAAATTGACATGCTAAGACTAGATTAACAGAGACATATGATAAATAGGTAGGCAAATATATCATCCAAACCAGAGCAATTCAAGAGGTCGAATGTACTGATGCAGCCTTGAACGACGCCGACGTAAACGATACAATTACCCAGGCCGGCGGAACATTGGACTTATCCCTTCGCCAGAGATCGAAGACGATGCAGCCCCGCGTCGGGTGCCAAGTCCCACTGGAACGTAAAAACAAAAGTAGAAGTAAAAAAGGTGGCGATGCGCCGAATTGTATTGATCGTGAGGATATATTACATAGACCCCGAGTGTACATATTTATACCCATGGGTTGATACAAGTCCTTGTCGGACAAGAAAGAAACTTTCCTAAAGATAAAAGAAAAAGATAAAGTCCTTATAGGATACTGAACACACCTTCCTAGAGATAAAAGGAAACTAACAAACTATTCCTAATTAATAGATAACTTGCCATGCCGCATTCTCTTTGAACTCGGTCTCTTCTGGATAAGCTTCCTTTAGTATATCAATTTCCTTAACCGAATATAGCAAGAATCCGACAACTGACGACTTGACAACTCTCATCGGCTAATCTAAGGACTTCGAAGCCGATGCTGACTCTAAGCCGATGACTACTCCAGGCTTACCAAATTTCACTGTTAACAACATATTAACTAATTCAGCAAGGAATTGATCCTTAAATTCACTTTGTGCTAGCCCATACACCAGAACTAAAGCCCACTTAAACTTATCGACTTTATTACATAAATGAAACTTAATGTAGAAATCTCCCTCATCAATCAAACCAATATCAACATTAATTAAATTGATGCCCAAAAGCAAACCACCGGACCTACCTCTAGGAGGCTTGCAATGCCACAAAAATTCTTTGCCAGCACACAGATTTTTAAGAACAACTGGACTAAAATCTTTCTTAATAGTCTCTGACAAAGCAATAAAATCAAGGTGATGTTCCTTTGTTAAATCAGAAATAAACTTATGTTTTTTCGGGTCCTTAAACCCATCACAATTCCAGAACAACCCTTTCATTTAAAAATATTCTTTTTTTCTTTCCTCTTTTAGTCTTTTTCTTACTATTAGGAGAGGTATCTAAAGATTTAAAGTGGTCTGAGAATAATTATCATCCACATGACTAAAATCCATCACCTCCTCCATTAATTCACCACACAAATGTTGAAGTAGAGAATTATCATCCACCTGATCATCTAATATCTCACTATCAACATTTGAAGTATGTACCTGATTAACAGAAGAACTAACATATTCACTTAACCTCTTTTCCTTTATACTCTTTAAATCATTTATAACATCATCTAAGATAAAATTCGTACCTAAAGTGATCACACCAAGATTATCAAGAGCAGCAGAGATTTGTTCATTTTATAAAAAAGCATAGATGTCTATAATCGACTGATCATAAAGGATCTGTGCATAAGATATATTTTCTACTGTCACTTGTTTCTATGGATCGATTGCACATATTTATGTCACTTGTTTCTATTGTTTCAATAGGCTTTACAGTAGAGTGATCTAGCTTTATCCTCTCCGTAGTCTACTTCTTGTTTTATCAGCTACAAGCCCACAACTAAATTTTATTTTTAGAATTTATTGTTTTTCTTATATATCGTAGTGTATTTTTTTAACACTAACTTTTAAATCATTAATAACACATGTGGAAAATTTTCCCTATAAGTTTATTTTTTACTGTTTTGTTCATTTTCTGATGTTTTATCAGTTGTAGCTTGAACGATCAGATGACATAAGAAACTCTGATTAAGAAATGCTTGAGTCAAAGAGGAAATTCCAATGGACTTCTAATAAATTATCCCAGCATCCTATCTTAGCATATCTTGAACAGCTGACTAGTCGAGCTAGTACAATCAAACATAATTATATGTTTTATATCCATTCGTTGCATTGACATCATATAAAACAAAATATATAATCATGTCAACTACTCAATCTGTTCTATTATAAAAATATATTCCCTCCGTTTCATAATGTAAGTCATTCTAACATTTTCCACATTCATATAGATGTTAATGAATCTAGACTATATGAATATGAGAAATGCTAAAGCGACTTACATTGTGAAAGGGAGGGAGTAGAATGGAACGTGACATATTCTACTACGAATTTGGGCCTCTTCCAGGTATCGAATGAAACGGGCCTCGTCGACGTGCGGGAGGTGCGGCGTAATGGGCCTTGCTGACGCTGAAGCCTGCAGCATGATGGGCCCTCAGTGCGGCACACGGCCCGTCCCTAACGGCTGCGACGGCGACGGCGACGGCGACGCGGAGTATCGCCACCGCGCCGCCGGCTAGTTCGCTCGCCGTCGGCGGCGGCGGCGGCCTGGTGTGCGGCGCACCGTTCAGTGATTCCCCACGGTGCTCCGGTTGGTTGAATTTGGTTTGGTACTTTGGTGGGGGGTTTGGGTTTGGCAGCGAGGGGGCCGACGATGCGGACGCATGGGAAGCGGAGGTGGTCGGTGGTGGTCGCCGTGGTCGAGGAGCCGGCGATGGAGGAGGAGGAGGGTGGGAGGGATGCGTCGTGACGTTTCGGAGAAGGCTCTCGGCGCCGCCTGCAAGGTGATCTCCCCCATTGATTTTTTTTTCCTCTGCATTTTAAACCCATTACCCATCCTTGGTCCTTACCATGGTTGTAGCATCTCGATTTCTGGTTATTTGGGTGGGATTGAATTCGCAACTCAGTGCTAGGGTTAATCAATCACAAGACTATATATGATTCTACACAGAATACCTAGTAAAATGCAAAGGCAAAGGCGTTCTAGTAATCTTCAGTACAATGTCGCGCTCCGACTCCGATCCTATATTCCTACCTGCCCTCGATCATGGTGATGGTCATGCTGTCCACGAAGCTGCAGTCTGGTCTGCTCGACGACGTGTCCTCCGTTGCAGCTCTTCTTGCGACGAACCCAGGCTTCCTGGGATCTGGCAATGAGGTGGCATCGGCGCTGGCCAGCATCAGGAGCACCTGGGACATGAGAGGACGGTCGTCCGGGTTCTCCTGGACACATAGGAGCCCCACTTTGAGGCATTTTAGCACTTCCTCTTGGTTGAATGAGCCGTTCAGTGTTTTGTCGACGAGATCGAGGCTGTTCCCTTCACTCCATGAGCTCCATGCCTGGTAAAAGCTTAGAGGATTTAGTCGGCAAAAAAAGGTTCAGAGATATTTTCTTGGTTGTGGTTTCAATTAATCAAATCAACATCAATTGTCGTAGAGTAAATGAGTCAGATTCATGCTTACACGTGCTAGAAGGTTTAGGTGGCTGGAGTAGCTGTAGACACCCCTGTTCCTTTTACCAGAAATGATTTCTAGCACTATGACGCCGAAACTGAATACATCTGATTTCACTGAAAATACTCCATCCATTGCGTACTCGGGGGCCATATAGCCGCTGTAGAAAACCATGAAAAGATAGTCAATTTTAGGAGATTAAATGACAAAGTCAACACTAGGAGATTAATAAATTGTGTATTAAAACGTGTTTGTTATTCGGTCCTTACTATGTGCCAACCACTCTAACTGTATTTATTTCCGTGTCGTCACTGCCAAACATTCTTGCCATACCAAAGTCTGAAATTTTAGGAGTCATCTCCTTATCCAGAAGAATGTTGCTTGTCTTCAGGTCTCTGTGGATGATTCTATATCTTGAGTCCTGGTGAAGATACAGCAAACCTCGGGCAATCCCCTCGATTATGTGGTATCTTGTTTGCCAGTCAAGTAGCTTGCTCTTGGATTTGTCTGAGAACATAGGAAGATTTCTGTTTGTTCCTTGATAGATATGGAATTTTTCATGCTCACAAAGGTTAAAGGCATACCAAACAGGAAACAGTCCAGGCTTTTGTTTTCCATAAATTCGTATAGAAGCATCTTTTCTTGTCCACAAACGCTGTAGCCAATAAGTTGAACAAGATTTCGATGCTGGAGTTTAGCTATCAACATAACCTCATTCCTGAACTCATCAAGACCCTGTACTGACGTCTTTGAAAGTGTTTTAACTGCTATTTCTTGCCCATCCTCTAGTGTACCCTGTAATTTTGAAGTCAAGTACTTTCAATCAGGTGTGTACTGACATTTCATAGTATGTGAAAAGTTAGAATGCCATCTTTGCTGGTTATTTCAACTATTACTTGTGTCCTGCAAGACATAAAATTTTGATTTACCGATGCTTCCGTTGCTAACATTAGCTATCATGATGTGTTTGAGTCAAGGAACTGTTTGTGAAATCTTAGATGAACCTTGATTATGGTAATCAACTTCTGATATATGAATTAGTTAGATATCTGTGCATACCTTGTATACTGGCCCAAAGCCACCTTCTCCAAGTTTGTTGTCTGCTGAGAAACCATTTGTGGCTGATGCTATTGTCTCCAAATCAAATAGAGGCAGATCCAGGTCATCCCCATGGCTATTTCCTTCACTGTGGAGCTCTCTACTGTGTAAACCACCACTCCAGTTACTTGGTCCTATTTGAAAATTTATCAAAGTTAAGAAACACAAGCAAACAAAGATCGATTTTTGTCCCCTTTTTTACATTTGGATTTAAGAGGTAATTTTTGTCTATATATGTTTAGGATCAGAGGTGTTACCTTGTCGCCTTGCTTTTGTCTTCTTTGTTCTCCAAATGTACATCCCAGTAAGGGCTAAAATAATTGCCAGCGCACAGATGCTGACAACTACTGCAATTATAATGTGCGTCTTCTTCTTAGACTTGCTTGTTGAATCTGTGCAAGAATAACAACTATTAGTTCTGCATGATTGTCTGTACCTACAACTTTCTTGTCTAGTTTTTTGTACATGAGCATTCCTTCTGATGATGTATAAACTCAGAAGGTTGCCAAATAATGAGTATTGCCAAGAAAACATATCAGAAAGATTGCAAACCATTGGCCTTAGAATCGTAAATTTATATTGGATTTTCACTTCAGAAGTCTACCTGCAAGCATGGTCAAATGCATCAGGTAAACTCAGGCATCCATTTTCTAGGTTGGTCCATTTTAGTACTACCTTTTGTAGTGCTATCTAATGAAGAAATTCTGGATGTAAAACATGATGTGTGATATTTTGCAGGAGATGGTTCGTGGGAGCTCCCTAGTTCATGCTGAACATTCTCCCCACAGATTGAATAATAATGTTCTAATGCACCAAATGAATTGCATTATTGCATATCACATTAACTTGTGTTAACTGGATGCCTTGGTACCATCGGTGGTCCTGTTCCGTGGAAACTCTGAACACAAACATGCAACGCAGAGGGTCCATGCACGCCTTCAATAATATTGCAGCGTAAAGAGGATGGAATTTCTCCATCTTGTCTCTTGTCCAACCAAAATATCTGGACGATGAAGGAAACATGGGATTTTACCTTGTTTAAAGCGTTTAGATCATGTTGCAGTGCTGGAAAGGGGGTGCCACCTTAACCCCATCAGCAATAGCCTGGAGTTGCAGTGCACATCGATTCACTGCAGATAGTTCAGTCGCGTGTTGCTAGCCATGAAGGTGACAACACAAATTTGTGATGGCACCAGGCACCAGCAAGTCAGGGTACGCTGATTTTGTTTACTTGCTTTTGGCTTGATGATCCTTTGAAAATGGAACATATATATGGATATGGTGCTACTGTTCCGTAAGTTTTACTCATGTTATTGAGGTAGGCTATCTAACATCATCTGCTGAGCTCCATTAGAAGGCAAATTGGTATGTTTTCCCATTTACCAATGTAACGCATATTCATTTTGACCACCTAACATGTGAAACTAACAAACTTTTTGGTCGCTTCCAGGCTTCCAGTTGAATTTTGTGGATGCAACATCGTAGGGTTGGACCTCATGGCTCATGCACATTAACCACATGTCAAAAACACAACACATGCAATAAACTCATATTGATTCATGCATGCCTGAGTCATTGCTAACTACGTAGTATTACTCATTCTATTCTGTGATTCTGTCTGCAGGCTAAAATTTGGACTAGATGGTAACATGGACCTTACTTATCAGCGATGGCGACTTGTACTGATGCAACACGAAAATAACGTGTTCATGTCTCAGGTAAGGGAAGAAAACAGTCGTGTCCATTTTGCTTAGCAGTGCCGTCAGGCAGATAAGATTAGGACTGGAGCTATGCAGAAGCAGGGCCGAAGCGAAGTGAAACACGCTAAGTTGCCGGGTAAGGTACCGGTTTATCATGTGCAGCTATAACAGCTATGAACTGTGGATGAATGATTGGACGGGCACAAAAAGTCTTCCCAATAATTCTGGGGTTACTTGGAAATGAATCTATTCATACATTGTCAGGTAACCTTTTTTTTTCTAATCTCGCTTTCATTGGATTGCAGTACAGCATCAGATAAATAGAGGGATAGGATCATAGGAGTATGTGGGTTGGGCAGACCGGCAGAGCATCTGAAACTGAAAGGCACAATACAGGAATGTTTTCTACTTCGTGGAGATGGGACTTACAGGCTACAAAGGCACAGGTTAGGTAAGGTCCAGTTTATCCATGAAGTAGTTTTCTTTTTCTTTATTTTTTTTAAAAACAAGTTACGTGAAGCAAGTTCGACTTGAATGCTACAGTAAAGTTCACAGCTAACTTGAGCAGAAGAAATAGTGCCCTCTCACTGACTGAACTAGTACTGACTTAGAAACATATGAATGCATACATCTGACTGCTTTTCCGCAATAAAAAGCGGTCTACCTTGGTTCCTTTGCTACTTTGATCATGACAATCTAGTAGTAATCTACAGATACTAAATGGCAAAAAGGAAATTCATAGCTAAACTCAATCTACATGGCGTGGGGAAAAAAGGACTAATTCACTTGTGATTAGTGCATACTGCATTGTGTACCTAGTCTCTCTCTCTCTCTCTCTCTCTCTCTGTGTGTGTTCGGGTTAAAATTTTAAACTTGAAACATGTCGGATAATAAATTCAGATTATACCCGTTTTTGTTATAGTTTGTCATAATTTGTGTAACTATTCCTATGGTATTAGGAGTAACTTTAAACATCTCATGAGGTAAAACGTCCTATGACATCACCAAAAAAAAAAAACTCACTAACCAGTGTGCAATCATGGATCGAGAAATAATTGCAGGAAGGACCAGAAAAACAACTGTATCAGACGGTGAAGTGAAACATACCGAGATCGGCGGCGGCGAGGCGGACGTAGAGGTCCTGGCCGAAGGCCGGGTACACTCGAAGGTCTTCCAGCTCGCCGGTCCACATGACGCAGCCGCGGCGCCCGGGCGGCGCGCTGAGGTTGGCGTTGGCGTACGCCGTGCACGAGCAGTTGCCCAGGCACCTCCGCCGGCACAGCTGGAGGCCGGCGTCGTAGTCCACCGTCGCGGCGGTCGTGTCGGGCGCCTTGGCGTGCCGCACCACGGCGAACCCGTCGGTGCCGTTGGCGCAACCGAGCGGCGTCTCCCGCGCGCACCCGTCGCGGCCGTCCCGCAGCGCCCACGCCGCCGGCGACCGCGGCGCGAACCCGCGGAGGCAGGAGCACACGGGGAGGCTGTTGGTGTCGCACACCCCGTTGGCGCCGCACGGCGACACGGCGTCGCACTGGTCCTTGGGCGCGTACCAGTACAGGTTCCACGCCCCCGCCGCCTCCACCCACGTCCACCGCTGCACCAGCCCGCCGCCGCTGCTGTTCAGCACCAGCCGCGACATGATGCTCGCGTCGGGCACCTGGAAGCTGTAGGTGACCTCCCGGGCGCTGTTCACGAAGCTGAAGCTGAAGTTCTTGTAGGTGATGGTGTCCGGGACGCCGGTGAACTGCATGCCGTCCCAGGGGCCGGAGCGCCACACCTTGTTCGGCCCGTTCCAGAGGAACACCTCCGGATCGCCGGAGGTGTCCATGGCCACGACCACAGAGCTCGGCGACGGGTCGGAGGGGCTCTTCCACGCCGTCAGCGTCATGTTGTTGCCGGCGGCGAAGTCCACCCCAATCCTCATCCCGGGGAGCAGCGTGTCGGTGGGGTGGTCGAACCCCTGCCACGCCACCCGGCCGCGCTCGTCGGTGACGACCAGGTTGCCGTCGTCCCGTATCCTCGCCGTGCAGGGCCCTGTCGTCGCCGGCGTGACCGACCACACGACGGTGGAGTTGGCGTCGGCGACGGCGAGCTCGCAGGCGCGGGACACGGACAACGTGGCGCCGGCGTTGCCGTCGACGGGGCCCGGGACGGGGTCGGCGCGGTTGGCGACCCAGACGACGGTGCGGGGGGACACCCGCGCGTACCACACCCCGACGTAGGTGTCGTTGGATCCCGGCGGGGTGAAGAACCCGAGCGCGAAGCCGCCGCCGTCGCCGGCGCCGGCAGAGACGAGCGTGTCGTGGCCCGCGAGCGGCTCGCCCGGCGCGATGCTGTCGCGGGCACGCGACGTCGCCGGCGCGAGCAGCATGAGGAGGAGCACGAAGCTGAGCTGATGGATGGCCATATGGTCGATTCGTCGCGGTGCGCGCGAGTGACGCGTTCGCTGTGAGGGCACGAGGATATTGCCGTTAATCCGTTATACGATGCAGTGCGGGGCGTCGCCTTGTCGGTCCCAACGAAATTGGGCCGCATTTCTGGCCACGGCCCGCTCAGCCCAAGTAGCAGGAGTCGGATGCATCGCATGGGCTTGGGCTACATGCAATTTTATGTGGGTTACTGGACGGAATAAGTTCATCTGAGGTCCCTTAATTTTACACCAAATCCGATTTTCGTCTCTGAACCCCAAAACCAGATACAACCGGTCTCCGAACTGTCGAAACCGGTGCAAACGAGGTCCCTTAGCGGTTTTGAAGGCGGTTTTGACTGATGTGGCGCCTATGTGGCTGGTTTGACTAGGTCTCCGTCCCACATGGTATTGACGTGGCAATAATATCTCGAAAAAACAATAAAAATCATGGGTCCACATGTCAGCCACACAAAAAATAATATAAAAATGGTGGGGCCCACATGCAAGCTACACAAAAAATAAATATGGTGGGGCCCACGTGGGCCCCACATGTCATCTCCCTCTCCCCACTCGGCTCTCCCTCTTCTTCCTCAGCACGCCGCTGCATGCCGACGACGACGGCGGCCGAAGCATGCCGGCGGAGCGGCGGCTGCGGCAGGCCGTGGGCGAAGGGATCCACGAGGAGCGGAGGGGCGGGCGGAGAGGCGGCGGCGGCAGGGCGCGGGCGGCGGAGGTGGCCGGAGGAGGAGGAGGTCGCCGCCGAGTTTCTGAGCCTTTCTTGCCCGATTCATGCATCAAAGAAGAGATTTTGACGCTGCCCTTCCTGTTTGATTCGGTTTTCTTGATCTGCTTGTTTCGATTTGTCCCCGTGTAAACGCAACCCCTGTTGCTAATTTTCTGCTCCGGCGAATGGGCAGGTGCTGCTGTCGCAACGGGGAAGCAGAAGGCCGCTACCGCCGCCGCCGGCCGACCTGGTTCGAGAAACAGGCAAGCCCTCGGTGATATCGGCAACGTCCTGAACGCCCATGTGGTCGACGGGTAAGGAGCAGCACGACATCATCATCGCGAACCTTTCCCGATTCGTTCTTCCTCCCGTTTCCCTCTCTGAAACCTCGTATTCTTCTTGCAACAGCAAGATCCAGCTGCCGGAGGGGATCAATCGCCCCATCACCAGGAGCTTCGGCGCCCAGCTTCTAAAGAAAGCTCAGGAGAACGCCGTTGGGGCGAACAAGGTACGGGTGAGACACCCCTTCCGTTCCTCGTGTTCTTCTTGCGAATTCAGAGTGTTTGATTTGATCCCCAATTTTGATTTTGCTATCAAATTGTCGTGCAGATCCCGGTCAGGAAGGAACCAGCTCCGAAGCCGGCCAAGAAGGTCGTACCCCGTCTGGAGAATGCCGCCAAGGCCAGCACCGGCGCCGGCGTCAACGAGAACAAGAAGCCTTCGGAGTCGGAGGGCGCCGGCAGCAGCGGCAGCGGCGGCGGTTCAGCCCACAAGTACTCCAGGAAGAAGGTCGTGAACACGCTTAACAACTGTGCTTACTGCTCGTTCCAAGGTGAGTGATCGATCAAACACCTGTGCTTGCCTGCTTATTTCAGCATAATCGCATTGTAGCTGAATCTGAATTTGATGTTATTAATGGCAGCACGCGTGTGGCATTACTGAAGCCAAAAGAAGTCGTCGAGGACATCGACAAGCTCGACAGCGACAACCAGATGACATGTGGGCCCCGCCATTTTTAGATTATTATTTTTGGCTGACATGTGGGCCCCGCCATTTTTAGATTATTATTTTTGGCTGACATGTGGGCCCATGTTTTTTATTATTTTTCCCAGATATAATTGCCACATCATCGCCACGTCAATGCCACGTGGGACGGAGAACCTAGTCAAACCAGCCATTTAGGCGCAACGTCAGCCAAAACCGCTTTCAAAACCGCTGAGGGACCTTGTTTGCACCGGTTTTGACAGTTCGGGGACCGGTTGTATCTGGTTTTGGGGTTCAAGGACGAAAATTGGATTTGGTGTAAAATTAAGGGACCTCAGATGAACTTATTCCTTACTGGACTGGGCTTCTTTTTCTGACCGATTGGAAATCAGAATCTGCTGCTGCTTGAAATTCAGCTTGCTGGTTGCACAGTGACATGTTTTCTTGTTTCTACTCTGCCCTGACATGGGCGAGTGAATCATGGATGCATGTAGTGCAAGTTCAGACATCAGAGCTGTGGAAGTTGTACAGTAGAAGCCATGATTACTACAGTACTACATGCAGTTGCAGCTGGATTGAGATGACAATGTCACGAGCTGGCTAGCTATTAGGGGGGGTGTTTGGGAAGGAGGGACTAAACTTTAGTCCATCTCATAAATATATAAGTGCTTCCCTTAAAGACTTATGGTTTTGAGAGAGGGACTAAACTTTAGTCCCTTGTTCCCAAACACCCCCTAGATCGATCATACCGTATCATTTTCTTGGAGCTAGCACGCATGATTGTGAGACAACCCAGCTTGAAAGAAACCAAATTTTTTGTTCGGTTTAAAGTCATTTTTTTCAGAACCGACAGTCAGTCAATCAGACAGACAGTGTCAAGTGTTCGACAAGTAACATGTACACAGAGCATGGCGCCAATCCGTCAGAGGCACGTACTACGAGTTCATCGTTGCCTCGAGCACACCATCATTAATCTGCTTGCTTTACAACGAAGATTACGTTTGGTGAATGGGGATTATGTGTGTGCTCTGGCTGTCTCGCAGGTGAAAGGAAATGAGCTTTCCGGTCTGTGTGCACGCCTGATCCATCCTACAATGATGCAGAGAGCCTTGCAGATAAAAATCTTGTCTTCCCCACAAAACAAAAGATAAAAAAATCTTGTCTAATCTGTGTTGCCAGGTAGTTCATCTCCAGATCAAAAGGTGACATTTCAGAACATAATGTTGTTGTCTGAAGTTGCACAGTCATTAAGGTAAATAAAATGGTGAGATATTCACCAATCTGATGATAGTAGGATACTGAATTCCTGACGACATTTTCTTCTAAACAGATGCAAGAAGGCGAGGGAGAGGGGAGACGCTCAGCTTTACCTATAAACTGATCATCTATTGCCCTAATTAATTTCTGACGAAATTTTTCTATCATACAGACTAGTTGCTATTGCTTGGTGGTTGGAAACTTGGAATCTGGAAATGCAGCTAATTCATCCTTGGAGAGGATGAAATCCTTCTGGCGGCATCCAAGGCAACACCAGTGCCAATCAGAGTTGGTGGCGACAACGAGATGGAAGCAAATCAGAGTTCATAATCTTTTTTTTTTTTGAAAAGAAAGAGTTCATAATCTTAATCGAGATCTTCTGCCAAGTGCCAACTACCAAAGCAGTTGTACAGAATATTTGTTCAGTGTACGTGATTCTCATCGCTGACAAACGCTTCGATTATTCTATCTCCGAATTCTGAATTTCTGAAGCAACCGAGAGCCCAGAAGCAGCAGCGATGTGTTGGATAAATCTGGGCCGTTGATTCTTGGCCGGAGAATAAAATCAAGGAGGCCCGGATGAGCGCCACGTGGCGAACCAGCTAGCTTGGCTACCACCCTTGGGCCTTGTCAGGTCAAAGTCAAACCGAAGTTGAAGCCTGCAATGCAAGCCCGGGTCTATAAATACTCTCGTCCTCTCCTGCTCGATTTGCCCTCCTCGTGCTCAGTAAACAAACTCCCACCGTGTTCTTCCTCCTCCCAGATCTAAGATCCGTGGACCGACCGAGCTCGAGCTCCACCACCTCGTCTCCAATGGCGGTCAAGGTCTACGTCGTGTAAGCATCCACACACCTTGCACCCCGCTTTCAGTTCTTCGAACTGATATATTTTTATTTATCTCCTGTTACATTTGCACCCTGCCCTGTTCTTGTTTCTGCGTCCTAAAAAAGTTCAGTTCTTGATATTACTTGTTGTCACACGCGGTTCTGAATTTTTGTTAAGGTCTTTAGGAAAATGAGGTAGCTTGTAACCTGGCAAGAACAGTTCAGACATTTCAGAGAAACCATTCCACTATTCCAGTGTTAATTTTGTTGCGATCTGGAAATGTTTTTAGCTTTGATCACCGCGTCTGTTTCTAGGACCAGAAGTGGGGGATGATTTGGACACGCAAAAGAGAACCTTTGCATGATTAATTGTTAGTTGGGATCAATCAAGGTAGTGGGTTTAGTTCTTGATGAAACTGATGCTGCGATGGGGCCAACCCAGACAGTGGTGGCAGCTGATCCTGCACTAGTTGTGTCGCTGTTCAATTTACCTGAAACCTTTCCTACATCGGCAACTTTGCAAGTAGTTTTGCAATAGTTTTGTACAATTTCATGGTGTTTACAGTTACGAGTAGGTTTAAGTTCAAATTGCAGTTGCTTAGGCTACCGTCACATGTTCAGTTGCGTTTGGAAAGAGAATAATACGAATATAGGGCATCTTCACCAACTCCCCTGTCCCCTCCGGGTATTAAGGACAGACTAGTGATGGTTACACATGGTGCTTACTGCTTAAATTGCTAAGGAAAGAGCAATTTGGCCATTTGGCAATGAAAACTTGTAAGTTTTAGAGTAATACAATTTAAAGCAATTTGTTCTAATTTTGAGAAGAGTATGAAACTTGCAAATGAAGCGAAAACTGTGGTGAAAACTGAAAACGGCCTGAAGTTACAGCTTACCAGTAAATTGTAGTTCTTCCATTTTATCCTGCCAAAATTAATCTGTAGGTTTTTGTTTTAAAAAATAAAGTATGTTTTAGTTGATTAAACTTTCTTTCTGGAAACTATGATTTCTACTGGTGCCTTTTGTTAATGTGGATTTCCCACTACAGCTTCACTGTGTCATGTATTGGACATGCATGTTTGCTAGCTATTGTTGCTTCCAGTGTCACACCAACGACATGGACCTTTACTTTTCTTATAATGATGTTTGTTCTGAACAAGCTAATTCGTTGCATAAGACTAACAAATGTGTTATCAATATCCAGACAGCATGAACAGGTAATTTATCAAATGTTTACTTGGCTAATTTATGTTTGAGAAAAAAAATACGGTTGGTCTTGATTCTTGAAAGAATGATAATTTTTCATGGATGTTAGTTGATAGGATGTCACTCTTGAACAGCACAAATTGCTAGTGTCCTCAAGAATATCTTGACTGTTCAGTATTTTGAGCAATGAACCTGCTATTGGCAAACAAATTTATCTGACAATGGACGTCACATCTTTATCGTTTAAGTCACATCTAAGCTTAAGAAGAGAGATAACCACCCTACAGTTGTCTAACATATATTCTAACATATATTATCTAAATTTTGCTGGCAGAATGGTATTGTCCAACTACCGAAAAGTGACCATCTAGAAGCCTTTAAATAAAAGATGGGGAGCACTTTGGCAATTTTAACACACCTTTACACCCATTTAGCACTTGACATCAAATCATTTAGCAAAATTTTAACCTCATTATCAAGCTTACTTATTGATGCATATGATTATTCTTTTTCTGATGCAAGCCTACATTTGGTTATTCTGTTTTCACCTGATTGGTTGCAGCAAAGTCACTTACCACTTCACTGATGAACCTGCTGACATGCATATGCTAAGTTCACAACTGAAGTAGTTGAATATCTGTGGAGATAGCTTTTATCCTTTGTTCATTTCTGCCTAATACAATTTAGACCATGTTGTAATTATTTCCCTGATTATTTGTGTTAGTGCTTTTCTAGTGACAATACAAAAGCATTCTAAAACTAATGAATTTTCAACAGGTATTACTCTATGTATGGTCATGTCGCCAAACTAGCTGAGGAGATCAAGAAAGGTGCTTCATCTGTCGAAGGCGTGGAAGTTAAAATATGGCAGGTCAGTTTCAACTCTCAAGTGTCAAACTTCATTTTTGTACTGAACAATGCTCAGCTGACGACGATATCGCAATGTAATCCATCACTGTTATGGTCGTCAGGATTCAGAATCATTCAATTTTTTTTCCTGAAAAATTGATCATCCAAGAACTACCTCTTATTTCAAAAAAAAAAAAGGATCAGCCAAGAACTATTATGCTACTGTATATATTTTTAAATGTACGATGCTGTTGACTTTTAATTTGATATTTGATTATTCGTTTTATTAAAAAATTTATTGCAAATATGACCTGGTATTTTCGAAATCCTAATGTGAAAATATAAATTATGCTTAAAGTAACTTTAATAATAAAATAAGTTACAACAAAATAAATTATACTTAATTTTTTTTAATAAAATGAATGATTAAATATCATGTCCAGAAGTTAACAACGTTATACATTTTAAAACTGTGGAGATGGTAACGATGGTATGTTCTTCTTGATGTTTGCTCCGATCCGTACCCAAAAAAAAAAAAAGAAAATAATCACAATCTACATCTCTTGCTTACTGTGTGAGAAGGTCCCTGAAACCCTCTCAGAGGAGGTGCTGGGCAAGATGGGCGCGCCGCCGAGGAGCGACGCGCCGGTGATCGCGCCGCAGGAGCTCGCGGAGGCCGACGGCGTCCTGTTCGGGTTCCCGACGAGGTTCGGCATGATGGCGGCGCAGATGAAGGCGTTCTTCGACGCCACCGGCGGCCTGTGGCGCGAGCAGAGCCTCGCCGGCAAGCCCGCGGGCGTCTTCTTCAGCACCGGCACCCAGGGCGGCGGCCAGGAGACGACGCCGCTCACGGCGGTGACGCAGCTGGCGCACCACGGCATGGTGTTCGTCCCGGTCGGCTACACGTTCGGCGCCAAGATGTTCGACATGGCGGCGGTGCACGGCGGCAGCCCGTACGGCGCCGGCACGTTCGCCGGCGACGGGTCGAGGTGGCCGTCGGAGGCGGAGCTGGAGCACGCCTTCCACCAGGGCAAGTACTTCGCTGGCATCGCCAAGAAGCTCAAGGGCGCCTCCTCCGCCTGAATCATATACAGAATTGTTACAGAGATCATTCGCATTGGCTGCCTGTGCTGATTTGATCCGTGTTCATATGCCGGAATTAATCTTTACCGATTCGTTACACAAAGATTTGGTTGGATTTGGTTGTGGGTTTGATTCTACGTACTGTGCTTGTATAAACTTGTTAAGTTGATTGTGCACTCCCATCGATATTATACCATCATATAATCTATATTCACGGGACTGTCTATCCATTTGTCGGGTGATTTCTAACAAAAAAAAAAAATCACCCAGATTTTTTCTACTCTTAAATTTACATCCAACGGACTACAAAAGAATATAACAAATACATATTTACTTACACATTATTTTTATCAAAATTATAGTGCACTTACGTGTCTTATCAACTGAATTTACAAATGTAATTTTAGTTATATAGGACTGTAATTTTATATTTTAAAGAAAATAACAAATATATATTTACTTACACATCATTTTTATCAAAATTACAGGGCACTTACATGCCATATCAACTGAATTTACAAATGTAATTTTAGTTATATATGACTGTAATTTTATATTTTAAAGAAAATAAAAAATATATATTTACTTACACATTATTTTTATCAAAATTACTGTGCACTTAGATGCCATATCAACTGAATTTACAAATGTAATTTTAGTTATATATGATTGTAATTTTATATTTTAAAGAAACTAACAAATATATATTTGCTTACACATTATTTTTATCAAAATTACAGTGCACTTACATGCTATATCAACTGAATTTACAAATGTAATTTTAGTTATATACTGCTGTAACTATATATTTCACGACGACGACAACGATGAGAGTGGCCGTACTGCCGGCGGCCAGCTCAATCAGAGGCCACCTTGGCACCGTGCTTCTCCATCATCACGCGCGCGCGGGGTAGCTAGGTAACACAGGCCGACGTGCCAGCCGGCCGGCGAGCTGCATGGAACGTCGACCTTGCAAATTGCCGCTCGCATCGCAAGCTGCATGGAGGCCAAAAAAGTGTCAAATGCCAGCAAAAAAATCACACGGGAGATGGATAGCAAAATCGATATTCACATATCCTATAGTTTTCTTGGAATCTGCTTTTTTTTTTTCTCTTTCACGGTGGTTTGATGATGGTTTGGGCGTTGTGATCACAGGCCCATCTAGGCCTAACTGCATCCTGAACATTTCTGAGCCCAAATGCCCAACCCGTAGCTTTACGGCCCAAAGTGTTGCCGCCTATACTGATAGCTACTGCGTAACACAAGCCAGGAAATTAAAAAGGAGGTTCTGCAGCCTCACTGTTATTTTCATGTCACTCAAACGGTTATAACTTTTCTTTTAGAAAAATAACAAGATAGATTATATGTGATACATATCACTTAACAAAATACAAGGTCAAATTTAATTTTACATATTGTTGCAACAAAAAGGACAGATTCAACCGTAGCTCGCATGGTCAAAGGTTAAGTTTACGCCCCCTAAATCACTCTGCAGGGGAATACACCGAGCCGGCACCAAAGAAATGCAGAAAAAGGTTTGGCATGTTCTGCTCATATGCCATGCACAGCAAGTTTGCAACAATTCTACAGGGTCTCAGCGTTATTCCAACTCAATGACGCCGGCTGCTTGCAGCTGGGTAGAGCTTGTAACTGGAACTTATTAATTTTGTCGCCTCTCTTAATCTAAAAAAGATACACAAGCATTTTGCAAATTCTGAAAAATAAACCCAAGGCAGACACAGAATTAGATTCAGAGATGCATTTTAACAGCACAGATAATGCCAAGCAATCTGCGGTGTTCCATAATTATACGCTTTCTAATTTACAAGCTGATCCTGATTGATGTGGAAATAGCTCTTCATCACGAACATATCCTTGGATAATGAGCTAGTACACGCAGGCTTAATAATTTGAGATCAAATTTTCCTAAGTTTTGGGATTACTGGAGAGGGTTCTCTCTGCCGAAAAAATATATATTATAGTGACAAAATATATTCAAATTTAGCAAAATTTTATCCAAATATGTACTCATCGATTTGCTTGAGAAACACCCAGGGATCCTCCGGCTAGTTCCATAAGGTGGTGGACTAGATGATCTGGATTCGAAGCCTCATATTTTCTAATTATTTGATATTCCTTCCCTAATATTCACGTCTTATCGATCCACTTATTTCACATAGATAACAGGGTCACATCTATCTCTGTCGCGCTTGATCAAAACCGCGTAGCTTGTAAGTCAGTGTATGTGCCCACACGATCAGTCGATCACACAGGAGGGAAAGGGAAAGCCTGCCCCAATCAACAGCTACTCATCTAGCACACGCATCGATTGTGTCTGTTTCGGTTTAACCTTGTAATTAATCTGCACATAAATTCCTGATCGCAATGTTGTCTCTGGGATGTTTATCAACTTTGATTCGTTGCAAGAAATTAAAGGATAATGTATATATCCCCGCAACGTATCATTTTAAGTACAGCTATGGGTTTTTATGTCAAATATTTGACCGTCCATTTAGAACTTTTTTTTATTAGATGATAAAATGTGAATATTATTTTATGTGTGACTTGTTTTTTTAATTCTTTCATAAATTTTTTAAATAAAACGAACGGATAAATATTGGACATAGAAATTCACAACTGTATTTAATTAAAATGAGACGAAGGGAGTATCTTACAACAAGGGGAATAAAAGATCAGGTAGCATATCAATTAACTGGAGTAATTAGGAGACAGTGCCAATCGTGGAATACCTAGCTAACAGCTGATTTGCTAGAGATCGAGTACGCATGCATGCTACGATGTTACACGAACACCGACAATTTTTCAGACGGTAACAAGAGGCATGTACAGTGACCTCTACTACTCCAAGATCATATATAGGCAATGCAATAATATGCATGGTTGATAGACATGAACCAACTGTTCATCATTCATCTAATTAAGACTCTGTCACCTAGCTTTTCTTTCCAAATTTTAGCAGTTGTTGTTCCCCTCCCACCCCAACATGTCATCAATATATATAATATTGACCATAGCATTATTCCTTGGAAAGTTCTTATATAAGTATCATATATTTCATCCCCTTTTCTAACTGTCCCAACAAATATACCCATTCATGTTAACCTGTTTTTGGAAACTCACCTACTAGCTAGCTAGGTCTTGCTTCTGAATTTTTCTTTAGTGCAATATCTGCACATGCATATTCCATGCATAAACATTCATACTGATCACACCCAAGCCCTTTTTTGCTCTCATATTTCAATTCAATATATATATGCACCTGCCATGTTTTTAACTATCATGAATTGATGCTTGATAGGTAGATATATATATATATATACATCGCCCAATTAGAACTACATACAAGGAATTTGTGAGTGTGGAGAGGATTTTTATGGTCCTTGTGAGGAGGTACCACAAAGCATATATACCGTGCAAAATTTCTAATGTTAGCTAGCTTGTGACACCTGTGGTACCTTAAACTCTCCCATTGGTACCTCTAGTTATTATGTAGCAACATATAAATATATGATATATCTCTCACATAAAAAAATATTTGATATATCTCAAGCGACTGTTAACAACTAGACCAAATGATCCTGTGGCAACTGCTAGAGCTCACCATATGCATGCAAGAGAGAGCAGCTGACACATTGCACCATGCATGTGCACCACTGTAGTAGTTGGGTTAATTCATCAGCTAAGCTGGGCTCTAAAAATTTCCTAGATCTCCCACTGTCATGGCCACAGTTAGTATCTAGCTAGTTAATTACTACCGAAATGTGCCTCCAAAGGTAGGGTGCCAAAACTCTGTCGCAGTCTCACTGGCCACAGTATAAGTGCTCGCAACCGGAACAAGGCACAAGCCTCGGCTGCGCAAGTCCAGCTGCTTCCCCTCACAGTTACCATTCACCTTATGGGAACCCTGTTCATGAGAAAAATCCAGGTGATGTATGGTGCAAAATCAAGAAAAAATTGAGGTGTTTTACAATGCTCCCTAATGATAGGTATATACACACACACTAGCAATGGAACTCATCATAAATCAAAGATCACCTTGTGATAATATCGATAGTAGAATACTACCGGTATAGAGTACCATAAAGGTTTTAAAAAATATGGCATTTGTGGTGCTCCTGCTCTCTATTGGTACTAGTCTGCTACCTATATTATCACGCTAGAAGTGATCTCAATATATATTACAGTAGAAAAGATAATTCTATTTCGAGTAGTTGATATGGTCTGTTGGATTAGAAATAAACGGTCAAGATTACTTCTACTACAGTAGATACTTAAGGTTAATTAACTAGAACAATGATGGTTAAACTCTTCAAGATATACCTGTTGGTGTTGTAGCTGCACAGGGCGCCCACACCTCAGGTACGGTGAGCTCAGAGACTGCATGCAGGTACAATCGAGTCCAATCAATTAATGGCTATGTGAATCATGACAAAATTAATTAACTAGTTCTGTCTGTGAATAATTGTCCAAGAATTTCTTCAGAGATTTGATCAGGGTTTGCTTATATATAGGCTCTGCAGGGTAGTACTTACGGCAACTTGATCGTGAAGGAACTTGATGTATTCGATGGCCTCGTGAAGAACCGATGCGGTATCCGTCTAGAAATCGCAGTTTGATCGATCGAATTGAAAAGGATATATACATTAATAATTGATCAACTACGAAATATTCAAACAACTAGAGAGTGAAATAGGAAGTGATCATCAAACAACTACTGGTAAAGCTTGTGCAGCTAAAATAAAACTGCTGGTAATGCAGAAAAAGTAGAAGAAATTCAGAAAAAAAAGAGGGCAAATATATTTGTACTAACCTTTCCAAAAGGCGAGACGAGTTGCTGGAGCGCAGTGATTCTGTCCCCGAGCTTCTCTTTCCTCACCTGCAGCATGCGCGCGCAGGGAGAATATAATCAAAACCAAATCCAAAAGCCATCATAATGCAATCGATCGATTTGTGTGAGACCGATCGATCGAGCTGGAAATGATGGAGCAACGAAAAACTAAAGAAAAAATGTGGCGATTGATCGATTCTTGTTCAGTGTTCACTAGCTCACGCACCTTGAAAGTCGGCATCGGCGACGGCGCCTCGATCCGTGGTTTCTTCGCTGCCGCCGGCGAGCCAGGAGAGCTTCTCGTCGCCGGCGACGGCGAGCCGGCGTCCTGATGATGATCATGGAGGCGATCCGTGTTGGACTGCACCATCAGAAACCAATTTAGAAGAAACCCTAGCTAAGTAGATACTAATAACTAAGATCATTGTCACGCCTGCAAGAGAAACTGCGGCGGCGGCGCCGTCGTCGCCGGCCGGAAGAGCCCCGACGACGAGCCTACGACGACGTGGTGGCCGCCGGGGAACGATTGCTGCTGCTGCAGGTTGTCGGCCGCCTCGTACGGTGTCGGTGACAAGCCTCGCGGCGGCGCCGCCGTGTCATCACCGCCGCCGCCGCCGTAGGGCGCCCCTGGCACGACGAGGTGACGCGGCGGCGCTGCGGCGTGGTCGCCGAGCAGCAAGCGGCGGCTCGCCGCGTCGCCGCCTTGGAGCTGGAGCTGGAGCAGCGTGTCGAAGCTCGCGGTGGCCGCTGCCGCTGCTCTACCTCCCCTGCTAGCCATCAGCCACGCCATGCGCAAGGTAATTAAACTAAAAAAATCAATATACTCCTATGCCTAGCTAGGTAGCTCGATTAATTAATTCTCTCTGGATCTTGATTAGCTCGATCTACTCACATGAAGTCCTGCGTCCAATAATCCATGTGTTGTCCGGCAAGAAGGAACGATGACGACGACGAGGAGGCGGCGGCGTCAGATAAACTAGCAGGCTGGCCGCCATGGCCGAAGCTCATCGGAGTACTCCCAACCGCTGACTCATCGGCGTCCGCCGTCGAGCACGCGGCTTCGTCGTCGCCGGTGCGCGCAGAGCAAGGGCTATTCCACCACTCATGCTCATCCGCCATGGCTGCGAACGGAGCTCGAGCTACCGCTCTTGACGTCGTCCTACCCGTTAACAAATCAGCTCGACGCCGACTTACCTGAAGAAGCAGAATAAGAGGCTCGATCTATATACAGATTTGCCAGAATATATCGATCGATCGATCGGGTGATGAGCGATTATTGATCGATCAGTGGTGTAACGTACGAAAACGTGTGACGATGAGTGGAGAGCTAGTGGACTTGGGGGGGAAGAAGGAGGAGTACTTCTGACTTTGTGTGAGTTCTGACCTTTTGATGGGGGTATAGCTAAGGGCCTGTTTAGTTCGCAATTTTTGGGTGTCACATTGGACGTTTGACCAGATGTCGGAAGAGATTTTTGGACACGAATGAAAAAACTAATTTCATAACTCGTCTGGAAACCACGAGATGAATCTTTTGAGCCTAATTAATCCATCATTAGTACATGTGGGTTACTGTAGCACTTACGGCTAATCATGGACTAATTAGGCTCAAAAGATTTGTCTCATGATTTCCCCCTAACTGTGCAATTAGTTTTCAAATTTATCTATATTTAATACTCTATGCATGTGTTTGAAGATTCGATGTGATGTTTTTGGGAACTAAACAAGGCCTAATAAGAAGTATTTTCATGGTTGCCAAGGCCTCACTTTTTGTGTTGATTGGACTAGAAAATCAACAAGTCTTGTAGGCATACAGTAACGCGGTTGTACATCGTTCAGTAGTCAAACCACAAGCACCGGCCGTGGCCATGTTCACTGCTGTGCTCTGATAGAGAAATGAGGGGGTTTTTTGTTCATGATTCTAGAGACGATACTGTTTGATGATGCACTAAAAATCTTAGAATATGATTTGTGATACCCTTCAGCGTACCTTCTTTCGAAGATGGTAGATGGTAGAATTAGTTTCGAACGGACGAAAATGATCTGGTCCACAATTATTTTGTAGTAGCTACCAAGTTGCTCAATTTATTTTGGTTGATTATTCTATAATTCTGAAAAGTGGAGATGCATGCTATTTAAGTCCACAATTTTAGGCACTTGTCTTTAGGGTAGTACAGCGCAAAGTAAGAGGTTTTGGCCACAAGAAACATGGGGTTCCATCTGCCTCACTTTCCATTTTTCTTTCGGCATCACATGATTATAATAATTCTGTAACACAACAAAAAGGACCTGTAACTCTGTACTGTCCAAGCTAGAATATAATGCATAGCTGGCTGCTGCCTCCGAAGAACTTCTATTATTCTAGTTGCCAGGATCAAGCAACTATCAAGATGCTGATCATTGGAGTTATTGTATTGTTTGCGAGCAAGCAAAGTAGGATGTGTGCGCTGCAGGGTTTCTTTAAGTGTAAAGCAATGGCGATTAGTTATGTCCAGGTACTAATAAGCAGGCTATCAGCTAGCTAGCTTTCGTTATCTAGTCTGTCGATAAACATCACATTAGTTATCTTCTACTCAACATTAACCGTGAATTCACAGACTCAAAATACACGCGAAAATTCTTAAGGAAATTAATTACATACTCCCTCCGTCTAAAAAAAACTCAATTCTTGGGTTTTCGTGTCTAACGTTTGACCGTCTATCTTATATGAAATTTTTTATGATTAGTATTTTTATTATTGTTAGATGATAAAATATAAATAATATAATATGCATGACTTATATTTTTAAAATTTTTCATAATTTTTTTAAATAAGACGGACAGTCAAATGTTAGACACGTAAACCTGGGACGGAGGGAGTATATATACACTGTGCTGCAGCTAGCCTGCAGAGAGTTGCAGTGACGTCGCGCGTGCGTGGACGATCGACGATCGATTCCGTGGGGCCCGGTCATCGCACGCGCCCGCCTTTGGGTCCGGCTGGCCGGGCCGACCACATTTCCGGTTGCATTCAGTCAAAGGCCCCAAAAGCGACCGTCGCCGCCGGCAGCACCACCCGTCCACTACTCCATCTATCTCGCCAGCACCGGCGAGCCCATCACCCCCTCCTGCCGCTGCCCCGCCCGGCTAGCTAGCTGCCGTGGACGAACGCACGCAGCACGCACCATTGCCGCTCCTTAGAATCGAATACAAGAACCAAGCTTACTATAGAGAGACTGAAGAGTAGATACGTCAAAAATCAAACTCTTTTCACGAAATAAAAGTATCCGTCAACCGTCTTAAGGTCGTCGGTCCGACCAAAGTATGTCACGCCCCGAACTAGTACCAACCGGAACTAGCCCGTGACGCTCCAAATTAACCTATTAATCGATACCAGTCCCAGGAAATAGTGCTGGTATCACAGGAAGACAGAATATCACAGCAACAGAGGTCTCTTTATTATAGAGTAGAGGTACAGTCATATTGGGCTGCGGACAGATCCCAAGCTCACAACTGCATTACAAAAGGGAAACGGAAGCTAGGACTTGGACCAATCAACACAGGCGCGACTTGGGAACTAGGCCGAAACCCTAAAACTCATCGTAGCCGGCTTGCTCCTGGAAGAACTCCTCATCAGTAGGATCCGCTTCATCTTCTTCAGCAACTGAGGGGAGGAATATTTATATAGAGCAAGGGTGAGTACGGGAGTACTCAGCAAGCCAAGGGAATTAAGTGTTTAATGCAGGCTTCAAGGAAAGGCTGTTGTTTTTGCAATTGATTTTATTTGAACTCTTTTCTAAAAACAACTAGGTGAGTGCTTCTCAAACGACGCGGATGAGACAGTGCGTCTCGTCCGGTCGGAGTATGTGCAATGTATCAGTCTTTAGAAATGACACAAGATTGGCACCCGGCCAACAGCTTTTCAACCGGCCACCCGGGCCAACAACTTTCAAACGGCCACCCGGGCCTAGCTGATCCCATCAGCTGCAGAATCTTTCAAACATCGAACCCCTTTCCACAACAGTAATTTCACAAGTAGTAGTCAATCAAAACTACGCTAGGAATCACCTCACATCTGCCCATGACCATGGGCACGGCTGTTCGAACAGTTTGTTAACCTCTGCAGAGGGGGTACACTTTACCCACACGACATTACTAACCCGGATCACCCAGCCCGTGGGGATTAGCCACGTCGGGAGACCTCCAAGCTTTCATGACAAGGCATTTCGAAAGCCGACACAGGTTTACCATATGCCGACGAGAGGGGTCCCAGACCAACAACAGATTAGGTCCCAGACCATACTGTGCCAGGAAGCCCAGGGGTCCTCCCCGACACCACCCCGGCGAATCCACATGTCTCTCGGCATCAAGGCTCCCCTGATAAGCTAGTTACTCAGCTAGGGGTGTCCCATTCCACCCATGTGGTCGTACTTGTCTTATGTTTGGATGAAATTCCAAAGGATCGGTCCTTAAGTGCGAGAGCGGGAAACCGTACACCCGGTACGTTCCCCGGTCCGCGGTTTTGGGAAATTCATTTAGTTCGCAAGCACCGACCCAGGTGTCGGGTTTTCCAAGGCTTTTGTAAAACCCAAGTTTTACCCAAGAAGTTTTTTAGATTTTAAGTTTGAAGGCGTCCGTCGATACTCGCGCAGGATGCACGAATATCGAGACGCAACTAGATGGTTACAAGGTGACATGATGTAACAATTAACAAGGGAAGGATCAAATGCAACAAATTAGGTAAGTCCGCCAATCTGCCTTGCAGACGGGACGACAGATTAAGTGCGATCCTATCTATGCATAATATTTTTCAAGCAACATAATTAAATTTCAAATATAGGCTCAAGATGTTCAAAGGTGGCTTGCCTTGCTCGAGATCTGGAGCTTGATCCTCGAAATCCTCGCACTGCGGGTCTTCGGGCTCCGAAACTACACGCGAAACGGGACAACTCAACAAACAGCGAAAATAAAGCCCTATTAATGACCTCTAAGCATGCTATTAGATAGATCTCGAGATTTGAGGAATTTTGGAAGTTGAACGGAGTCAAACGGATTTACGGTTGGGAAGATATTGAATTTCTAAGATTATTGAATTTTTGGTCTAAAGGAAAAGTATTTAATTAAATCCTTTTTGGAAAAGAAAAGAAAAGAAAAGAGGGAGGGAAAATAGACTTTTCTCGGGCGGCTAGGGTGCGGCCCAAGAGAATTGGGGCGGACCGGCCGAGCTAAATGGGCCGGCCGGCCCAAGGCGGCTCAAGACGGTCGCACGCGCGGGAGGGAGGAGAGAGAGCCGGTGGACCGGGCTCACCGCGCGCGGTCCCGGGTGGGAACCGCTTGTCGGTGACACGGTTCACCGTGCGGAGCGAGCACGCGGCGCACACGCGCGGGCGGGGGAGGGACGCGGTGCACACGCACGGTCTGCGAAGGAACGGATGCGGCGGGCCCACGCGCAGCCTCACGGCTCGCGGTGGAACGCGCGCACGGGAGGGGCTGACCGGGGTCGGCCCGACCCGACCTCGGCTGAGCTGGCGCCGACGTGGCGCCTACGTGACTGCCACGTGGGCTGGCGGGAGGAAGACGAAGGCCCGGCCGCGAATGGACGGCGGGCGGCAGCGGTTTCTCCGGGGCGCCTTGCGACGATGAGGGGCGACGGGGCGTACACCGGGACGACGAGGAAGAAGGAGAGGGAGCGAGCCAACGGCTTGGATTCGCCGGAGGGAGTCCGTCGGCGGCGGATTTCGGCGGCGGCAACCGGCGGAGAGCAAAGGGGAAAACGGCGACGAGGTCACGAGGGGCCGATTCCCGGCGGTGAGAGCATCTACGCGGCCACGGGAATCCGTTGCTAGCGTCAGATTGAGCGGAGCTACGCCGAGCGAGGCCGGCGACGAGCGGGTGCTACGGAGCGCGGGCGGCGACGGCGGCGAGCACACTACGAGCGGCGGCAACGGTCGGGGCGGCGCCGGCTAGTTACGGGGAGGCTACTCGAGCTACTACCGAAAACTAAGGGGGGGGAGATGGAGCGAGGAGGAAGAACGGAGGGAGGCATCACCGAGATGAGGAGGGGCGCTGTGACGAGAGGCCGACGGCGCGGGAGGGATCTCTCCGGCCTCGGGCCGGGGAAGAGGAAGGAGAGGACGCGCCCGGAGTCCCCTTCCGCGTCCTAGTGCGCACCGGCTCCTCCGGCACACACGCGACGGCTGCGGTCGGCGAGAGGGACGGCAATGGCGCGGGCGAGAAACAGGGAAGATTGGGAGGGGAAAAGGGGAAGGGAGGGCGCCTGGGTTTATAGGGGGCGGCAATGTCGGTTTGGAAACCGACTTCGGCGGTCAAGGCGCGAGCTGGCGCTCCGGCTAGCGGCCAAAATGGCGACAGGAGGGAGGGAGGATGACGCCGGCGGGAGGA